TGTTTTCAGGTAAACGCTCTAGTATGCACCCTCTCCTAGTGCCCATGACATGGCTATTGAACACATTACGGGACACAGAATGGATCTTCTCTACCTGACAATTAAAACGCGTACTGAATAAATATTCTCTTACTATGAGTAACTAAAATAACGCGAGGACACAACGAATTCTACATTTCTTGTCGCACTCCTTTGTTATAAAATACTTTACTATTGATAGATTATACACCTACTGAATTCTTACACAAACACATCCTCTCCAGTCGTGGAAATCCACACGGCAACCGATGTGTCACTCACCACGGAGTTAGGCCTGGATCATCGTACCACACGGCGCCTTTTCTTTCAGTTCAAACAGAACAAATGGAACAGCCGACCCGCAATGTAACAAGAAGGGAGTCTCAGCGGCGTGCCTATGCTTTAATAGCAGAAACGAGCTAGTGGCAAAATAAATCTGTACAAGTTGGCTTCTGAGAGATCAACCTGATGTTTTCAACTCCGTTTATTAACAGTGACTTGCATGGCTGCCGCCAAACTATGACATACTGCAACAAGCTGACGAAAGCGAGGGTAAAGCTCAGGGGAACATCGAAAAACCCCGAAGGGCTTCGCGTTGGTCTTCGGACCCTTTCCGGTCTAGCTGATATTATTTGCCGACTTAGTGGCACCGAAACCCCATCAGTGGTAAGCCGTTGGAGAATTACGATGTTCATAAAGGACGATGGGACGAGTTTGCTTGAACCGAGCCTGACCAGACTCGTATTATGTAACCTAAAAATATTTGATAAATTGATGTATTTCATAATGGTGCAATAGTAACATGTACATCTACTAAAATTACCCTTACTTAAATTACCGATACGTGAAGAGATCCAGTTTTAAGGTCGGTCGCAAACGAGGAGCCAACTGTTCGAAAGAATCCTTTACTGCAACAGCACTGAACGTAAAATTCAAGACCTTTTAGGTTGCCTTGCTTAAAGGGTCGGTTAGGCTGTTTGATTTTGCACCTTTTACACACCGTCTTTTTACAGCTATGCAACTATTTTTGCAACTTCGAGTACCATATGTGAGCACAAATGAATGCTTGGTTTTCAATCCATGAGTCAACCTAAAGCAAAAAAAAAACCGTAAACAACAAAGCGCGGCATTCGCTGTTCTCAAGCTACAAAGCCGTGCAATCCAATAATAGGTTCCTGGTTTCTGTAGAGATCTATGAAGAGTCGTATCGTTCAACGTATCGCAAACGATAAATTTACATTTAAATTTACATACCCATTGGAATCGGGATATCAACCACAATTAGCAAATCCCAAGTTTGAAGATAAATGCAACATGTTCTTTCCCATGAATTGACATTGAAGATACCGCTAAATAGTTACCTGAGATTTTCGATTTCCTATGAGAATCCTAGAAAATAACAGTGAACACATTTTTTCTCAGCGAACGCTCTTAGATACCTGCTTAAAAGATGTGGCTATAAAATAATGTTTTGGCTTGCTCATTTTCAAAACGCGTATTCTTGAAATGTGACAAATTCGATATTTTCTACAATAAGAATTATATATTCAAGGTAAAAACGAGATAAAATAAGACAGCAAATCCAAACCAAACAATGCAAAGAATTACTAGCACATATGCATTGAATTCCTTATGAATTTATTTTTATATTTTTTGATTTCCGTGAATTTTCTTATAATCACTTGTTAAATTTTTTTCTGTTTTAATCAACGAGTTTTGCTATTCGTCCTAAAATCAGTTTTTTAGTGCGCGTGCTTCTTGTTACTCCCCAGTCCGTCTCGATTTGCCTTACATTATCAGTTTCTTTTTACTTTTGTTTTCTTTTATAAGATACTGAAGTTGTTGCTTCTACAACTTACAAAGTTGACTTCTACAAAGATAAGCTTATCTACTTCGAAGTCCGAGCTTAGAAAATAGCGTTATATAATCTCGACACAGTTACAGCAACAAGCTCGTAGAGTTTTCCATTGAAATATACATACGGTCTTTAGTAAGCGAGACATTATAGAAAAGAAAGCAATAAGCAAGACTCGTCATTGCCTATTCACTAGCTCAAAACTTTCAAAATATGCATATTGTAGAGAAGTCAACTGTCCGTCATTTAGCCGTATTCCTCCTAAACGCTTAGGTAGTGGTGTTGGGTGTTTTCAGAACAACAATGTAACAGAATTTGATATGAGCTGCTAGTAGTGTTTGACTAATCATCGGGCTCACAAACAAAAGTAAATAAGGAATCTCCCAATTAACTTGCAAGTTATGCTGGAAGGCCACTCATATGAGAACGAGACTACATGTTGTCCTTTGCAAAATACATATATATTTTAAATAGTAGCTCAATAAGCAACTGCCCATTTAGGAGAAACTAATTCACCTGTTTCTACATTGGGTAAGCTGGTGATTTGGTATCCCTGTAGGATGTGTTAACTCGCTGTAAAGAAATCCCACAGAACGGTGTATTTTTTCACGTATCGCACGCTCATATATGAACAGTGCGCGTATGTGCGCACGTTCATATATGAGTATGCGTGCATTTACCGTTTTGAATGAACCTACTGCTCACGTTTGCCGCATCACCTTCTTCTCAAGAATTTAGAAATACCATAAACGAAAGCGCTTGCCCGTTAGCAAATGCAAAGTTTTTAGCGCCTGCTTCTATCTAAAGAGTAGCACTACGTCAGGAAAAATTGAGTCCTGTAAATTAACTCAGAAAAACCAAGGAGCCGAATAATGAAAATGACATAAGTAAGACTAAGGACCTGTTGCCAGTGTTAACACTATCGTTGGACCCGATTACTTTCCAATGTCGTCGTATGGTCTTAATGATTACCGTAGTAGAGAACGCAAAGGTGATATGTATCGTGATACAAGGCATAGTGTTGTTTTTAGCACCCAATAGCAGCGGCAGTGTACACAGAGGGGGCAAAACAAGTGAATTGCCCTATTTTCTGTTGCCATTGCTGTTGCCGCTTGAGTTGTGAACCGGCCAAAGGCACTACTACCCCGGAGGGCAGTGGGGGCTGCAGCAACATCATTATTCTTATTTCATTACAACAGATAAGCACGCCATCCTTATTGCCATGTTAGCAAAGCGCGAGAATCGGCCAGAGAAATTTTCTTGCTAGCTGACTACTCCTAATGGCCCCTCGCTCCCAATGACTGCACGGCTGTGTGGCTACTAGTGCAGGCCAAGTTGTCCCCCACACGGGCAAAGGCACATACGGCCAGAATGTGATATTTCCACATCACCAAAGGGTCGAACACCTGGCACCCAGGGCATAGCCCACCCTGCTTGCTAGACAGGAACAGCCAAGCTAACTGCTACCCAGCTGCGCAAAGCAATGTTACCCCCACTTCCAACTCACTGAACGAATCAGTCATCGAAAAAAGATTCCCACGGAGTTTGCTGTAAATCATCATCCTTATGGTGTGCTTGTCATATAATTAGTCGGTTATTGCACTACTCGATAATGATGCGAAACGTGGAACATTTGTTATACCTTTTTGTAAGTTATCCAAGTTCGATCTTATAGCGACAGGAGATATGGACAAAGATAAGCGAGCATAAAAATACTGGAATACGTACAGCATAATGTCCCCTCCGTGATGATACTAATATAAATAATACTATCACTACTCTGTCCGCTGAGCTATTTGGCAAGTTAAACTAACCCGTCTATGTTTCGACTTTCACGCACGATATCACGCTTAGGAATTCCATTAGACGGCTGGCTCCCACTACAAAACGAACTTTGTCTATGCCCGGGTTTGAACCTAGACCGCAACGTGTCCCCAATATTAGTACATAAATATGTTACCCACGAGGCTATTACGGAGTTAAATGAACCTAAACACGTCTTTCAAGTTTTTGCTTATTTTAATGGTGTTTCTCGTTTCCGTCTACGTGGCAAAATTGGCAAATTCTTCAAAGTCAAGCCAGTTACCAAACTGTCCAACTCAAAATCGCCCTAACCCTTTTAGGTCGGAAACGATTGCAATATATTATCTGCGGTCAATTCTTGTGTCTGTTGGAACACTGTAATAATAGTAAAATATGGGAGGTCTTTGACACACTGAAACATGAAAAGTTTTTTGTTTTCCTCCACCTTACTATCAGCTACTGCGAAAGATTTATTATTACCCATTTTCTTTGTAGGAATGCACATCACCAGAACATTCACTGTGTCTTAGTTCGTTTCCCATCTGGTTCGTGTGCGTTTCGCAACTTCCGTACGTCCTAATTTTTCCGCTGAGCACTGCTTGTACTTGGACCCATTTCACCGCTGTTACAAACTGGCGACGCACGCCCGCAAGCTTTTGCTCCGCACAGGGTTCCGCGGTCGTCGCAAGATGCCGTCTCCACCCCGTCATCTGCTCCGTCAATAATAGAATTAGCCACCTACTCGAAGTCTATTAGTAACTTATTACATATATAGGTACTAGTGCCTAGAAAGCATGTCCTGAAGTCAGGTTCCGCTTAGCAGTATTACAGACAATTATTATTCAGATTAAACGAAACAAGCTATCGTCATGTAGATATTTGAATGATGCTGGTGGTAGAGTAGGTTTTGGTGCGTATGTCTGTATGGTCCGGAACCGTAATTGTGATATTGTAGTACAGACCGAAGGGAGTACGCAAACTAGCCTGCTGGAAAACAGACCCATTGATAGGCGCTCATTCCTTGAATAGGGTACACGCCTGCCCGCACATCCATCCGATAGCTGGATAAGACTCACGGACGAGATCTCTCCAACCTGACCAGAGAAGTACTTCCATACCCTTAGGGCTAATCGGTCGCTGCTCCTTTTAGTCTTCTATTTTCCCCTTATTCAGTAAGGTGAATCTGATGTTTTTCACCTTTGCCATATTGCCCATATGTCGAAAAGCTGTGCAGAATTGCGATATCAGAGGTCTGAGCTAGCGGTTCAACGAACACAAGCACGCATGATAAATTCCACACAGAGTTATATCATATGTTGCATACCTGATTTAAGACGATGATGAAGATAAAACTTATGTCGACCTATCGCTGCCGCATTCTTAGTTAGTTTTTCTTTCACGTTTTGATGGTTGCCTCTTTTAGTGGGACCTCAAGCTGTCTCGTACCAGCTTACTGCTGATTATTGCTCCGGCATGACACTCATTTCTTCTTAATGGCACATACATCGACGTGGTGTCATTATGGATATACATCTGTAAAAAGAGAGACGTCCATCTGCGGATATACACTTGTCATTACATAGGCACTCAATTACACACTTGCATGGAACTCCTGGCATTAGATCCACTACAGGCAGAATATCATAGTAAAGATAATAGATCAATTAATTGCCACTTTGCTGACTCTTTTCCTGTGGCATTTTTCCCTTATGTGTTTGTTTTCCTCTAGTCAATTTTATCTCACGCTTTTATTTCGTCAACTTTTCTTTTTCCATTTCCATACATTGTTGATGTATAGTAAACACTGGGTCACTAACTGATTAGCTTTGACTGACCGGCTGTGACGAAAACAGCGCGGACAACTGCGCAAAACGAAAAAGGATAATGGCACTTAAAGGCACACTAGCACAGGAGACAATCCACGCCGACGGTTCTTACTACAGCTGCCGGAATATGATAGAATATTGCTTTCTATCTATTTGTGGCTAGACGGCAGCATTACAATGATGGCTTGGTCGCTTGTCAAACAGCAATTCTACCTGTCTATGGTATATGTACCGACCACACAACCCCCTTCACGATTATAGTCGAATGTCGATGAAGCGATTCGGTGTGGCCAGTCCTAATAACGGTGTTCCTTGCTGTCGATGTGATTTTGAAATCTTGAAACGCGCATGGGCTGAGCTGAATAAATTCCGCCGTTCCTCCTACTTTAAAGAGTCGTCTATAGACCATACACGATATATAAGAATCGTAGCTGACGCACACGTATGCCCCTGTCACACTTCAAGCTGCTCCACTTGCACTCGCGTCAGTTTCATCAAAATTCAGGGAGCAGTTTACATAGCACCGGTATGAAGATATCGTCATTGGGGTTGTGTTGTTATCATCGTATCGATGCTGTCTTCCGAACGAAAGGCTGTTGCCACACAACCTGATTGATATTATATAATAAACTACTCTAAGCAATGCTATTCACGCACTGCCCAAATAACGGGACATGTAGCATGAGCGAAATAGTGCACAATAGACATTCATACCGATCAAACAGGGGTAAACCTTCTGGAACCTTAATAGAGATTCTGGCCTGCTGCTCCTGCTAGGGCTTTTGTCTTGACCAATCCAGCGATCCACAGAGTGAGGCTGCCACAACCGTGTCTCGCAGACTATTGAGAACGGCCTTTGTTTGACAAAGTCCTTCAATGGCCTTGCAGAATCCAGAGATGTCGACCCGGGCAGTCTGTTTAAGTGTCAGAGCGATTGTGCGCTTATATCTTCTTCTTCCACTCACCTTCTACGAGCTTTCCATTGCTGGAGGTTGCTGTTGCTGGTGTAGACTTTTAGCTGATATCTTCGGCTTCTCATCACCAGCGACTCCACGGCACTCCACAGCACTAAATGTGATTCTAAGCGCTCTGCGCCCATCCACTATTTATCCTACACTACTAAGAGGAGCGCAGATTCCGCGCTAAGCAATTTGCTTGTCGTCTCTCTTTGTAGTCGCCCCGCTGTAGGCATTCCTCTGTCGAGAGGCAGTAGCAGCAGTGACGGGGCAACTCACCAGCTTCGCTCGTTGCTGGGTCGGCCCAGCTAGCTAACGCTGCCCCATTAGTCAATGCCTAACGTTACAGCCCAATGTTGGACTTACTACCGATTCAATCACTGGTTCGATCAGACTCTACTAACCTTCTTTTTTGCTCACCGTCTGCTTGTCATTGCTTTCGCAGTGACGGTGGAGATGATTATGATCGTAGAGCAGCATTCATCTGCTGACCCAGTTGTGGGTCTAGCTGGTGATTATGACAGTGCCGTTGCTATTATCAGGCAGCGAGTGAGGAACCGTGTTGAGCGAGTGGTCGAGTCAACCAGTCAAGCCAGCCAGTAGAAACGGCGATGGGCTCCACCAGCGCTAGCGGGGGCAACGACAACGACAGTCGTGGTCGTGGTCGCAGCAATCGGCAGCAGCGCCCGTCGCACCACAGGGTTGAACTGCTGGCGAGCAGGCCGAGAGCGCACATGCGCGGAACACTCGTCGTTGTCGGCGGTGGCGGACAGTCAAACAGACAGACATACGGCACCAGAGCAGCAGTCGTACCGGCCCGCTGCTACTCGCCACAACCGATTTGGCTCTCCCACCCGCTTGCCCAGCCACTCACTTCAGTTCAGATCACACTCCTTTCGCAGCAAGCAGCCAGGAGCACTTAGTACACGACATTGCACCAGCAGCACTAGCAGCAGGGGCGCCATCACACCGACATAGGCACACATCAGGCTTTCTAGAGGGAGAGACAGAGTGAAATACCGCGACAGCCATAGCAGCCAGACACACAACACCCTGTGCATCCGGCACACGGCGCATCCGCACGCACACCGCACACAGTAACCCTTCGACCGCAAGCTTCGCCACTATCAGCCGCCAGGCAGTAGCACAGAGTAGAAACGCTGAGAAGACAAGGAAGGGGGGCGGGGCGAAAGAAAAGCATCGAATGGAAAATGTTTTGCCGCTTATGAAAAAGTCGAACGGGCAATTATTAAAGCCGATGTAACACACTGACAGCAACAATTAATTGACAGAAATTTGAACAAATCGAGTCTCCGCACCGTAAAGCTCACCACAATTAAATATGTGGTACGGTTGTGGTACCGACGGGATAACTCACGGCGGAGCCCGCCCGTAACAAAACAAACCGTGAACACTAGCTACTACTGCTGCTATTGCCTGCGGCGAAGCAGTAGCTGAATACTGCGTAAAGGAGATACGGGACGAAAGGTCAGTAAATTCGATTCGGTGAAATTTTTCATGGGAATTTACTTCCGTGTACACGTAATTGTGCCACAAGTTAAATTGGTCCAGTTGAAGTGTTCGTGGGTTTAACTGAGCCCCAGATAGCGGTTTAGAAGAAGCTTGCTTTTAAAGAAAAAAGAATGCTTTATATAACATTCAACGTATTTACAAGAAGCACTAACAGAGTTGCTCTGTGGAAAAAATTGTGATATCAACCAAAACACCAGCAATAGTAAGGTATAGATACTCTTAAGCCATAAATTAGGCAAAAATAGGCGTAGATTGAAATAATTATAACGTTATTGTATCATCAAAACTCAACGTATACAACCCTCGACACGGTTTTCTGTATCTAACAACAGTAACCGCATAGTAAATAGATTATTAATTCTAATGCAGAAAAGCCGGTATCTTTCTTTTGACGCTCAAACCAATATTCAGGTCTTTCTCTAATATACTGTGGAACACAGTCTCAAATCATGGTCAAACCTAGAAGAGATTTTATCTCTTACAAGTTATACAAGGAACAAGTTTTTATGAGTTAGTGTTTGAATATTTCTTACTATAAAATGTATATCTATATTTATTTTGTCTTATGTAAGAAAAAGACATTATAGGCAAAAACACCGCTTTATTCAATCAGTAAAATTATTTGATTTGTTTATTAATACTGTTCAAAAACTCCATATTAGTAACCGCTAACATCCCTAAAGGATTAAAATTGTACCTAAACCAAACTGACTGAAGAAATAAAGCGTAATCAAAAATTATTTTAGTACTCTCATTAATTGCAACCTGCCAAAAGTATTAGAAGCAAAGCATTGTTCACATGATCCCTTGGAGAACAATAATGATGCGTTTGTTTCAGAGTAGTCGTTGCTTTTTTTTTTTGGAACACTACTGAATTTGTTATCCTTTCGTCACACCGCCGAAAGTGGCGAAAACCTGCAAAGTTTGTGTTTTTGGCTTATTTAATTTTTTTTCATTCTAACACTTTACCGGCAGAAGTGCTTGCTTTTTCATCGGATTTATTTGAATACGAGGATTGTCTGCTTCGAAAGATAAGAACCCTACAGCCTCACTTGTCCTTATGCAATTACCAGATTTAGCAACTAACAAGTCCACAGTATATTGTTTTTCTATTGTTTCAGATGGGTGGCCATCATGCTCACGACACTTTTAAGATTCCCAAAGACCACAGGATTTACAAAGTGGAACACTCGAGAACGCTTTTAGAATTGAAGGAGTTGCTTGCACAAAGTGGACTTAAAGATCCCTGGATGCGGTACATTTAGCTAGTAATCTAACTTCTCAAAGATTGTTCTTCCAACAAAAATTAGCTTTATATTAATTTTTATATTTGTGAACTGCAGCTTAGCCATTTTAATTAGCTGAATGTTTCTAACAGCAGCAAGAAAGGCAAATAAAAGAATAAAAATAATAATAGTAATAATAAGAAGAATTGTTTTTAATCATGCAGGCCTTCTCGAAATACAGACCACCGTTTGATTATTGGTTCCTTTCTTTTGTTTTGACTCCTGTTTTTCCTTTATATCTATTTACAGAAATGAGGTGTTTCGATACAAATATGAAGGTACGCTTTGGAGCCGTTTTTATTCGAGTCTCGGATCCCGGTACATGCTTTATGGGATTGGCCTCGGTCTACTTGCATCCGTAGCTCAGTACGCCTGGGACTCGAGACATTCATCTTCTACCGATCACGGCGAGCAACATTAGGCGTTATAGAGGCATCATTCTGTTTTTCCATAAACACCATAAGTGTGAAGTTTCATGTTTAACATCCCATGAAACGTCTCGTCCGCTGTAATTTTCAGCGTTATTTTTTACTGAATTGATGATAGTTAAATAGAGCGAAAATTTTCGAATATGTGGGAAAATATTAAATTTTTTTTTATCTTTATCAACTACACAATCTAGTTCGGGCAATGGACTTGGTTAAATTAGGCGTGAGCAAAGACAGTAGAAAGGCAATGGAAGTTCTCAAGAAAAAGACGTACGATATGCACTCGAACGAATAGGAAAACAGTACTCAACCAGTAAACATGTAAAAAGCAGGCCGAAAATAAATATGAAGAAGCCATTGTTCTACTTCTTGATTTGCTACGTTCTTCTCACTAATTTTGTTACTCACTTTTGATGGCCACCACCAGTCCAGGTTACTCTAGATTGCATTGCCGTTGTTCCAACTAAACAATTGATCATGACCACGATCAAAGCACCAAAGGTTTTCTCAGCATAAATCGATATCGCCAAATATTTGAGGTGAAATAATAAGCATGCCACGTTTCACTTTGTTTCAAAATTGTTTCATTTAGTGTGAAATTAGATTCAGAATTTAATTTAGATACAAAATTATATACGCTCAATATAGAGTTGGTTACAATTTGCAATAAAACCAATTCCATCGATTTTTATAATACGACTTTTGTCAACTATAGCAGCAAAGTGTTAAAAAGTGGTGTATTTAATCGTATTGGAATGCTTAAGGACAAAGAATAATTGAGTATTATTTCTATAGAAATGCCCACTTAAATGTCTGGCAAACTCACAAGGTGGCTCGCTTGACAGGCAGCTCGTAACCGTGATCAAGCTTAATAATGCCGATCAATCTACTAGAGTTGTTATACTTTTGTGTAGTAAAGAGCTGACACCAATGTTAGTTGATTTACAAAAATATATCTTAGCGATTCTTAGATAGGACAACAAATAAACTACACTCTATCGCATATGAACGTGTCATGCCACTATTTTATTTACACGCATTTATTCGCATCCTTTTTTGTTTTATATTCATAGTACATTTTAAATAATAGCAAATAGTTTTGTTATTCATAATTAACAGAAACAATAATTCTGTCTGTTTTCGTACTGCAGTATAACGATGGCTAGTCTACAGCATTCTCACTTCCTCACCGATCATACAGTCTTTGTTTTTCTTGAATTTGGACGTTAGTTTTTTTTTATTTGTATTACTACTTTCGTACGTATATCCTAAATACATAGTAACTGTAATTGTAATGTCCTGAAAACACTAACTCATAATTAAACCTACATCAATGAAGGAGTGTCGTATCGATACTACAGCTGTTTGAGGAATAATTACTTATAAACTAGTCTAGAAGAGATCCACAGCAATGTAATGCCATGGAGTGTATGTTAGCTATCACTTTGTATATCTAACAATTGGAAGGGGGGGGGGGGGGGGGGGGAATCTGTTAGTGATCAAAAATTGTGATTTAGATATTCAGTTTGCTCTAGGAAATTCGAAAGTTTAGTAATTTATTTATTGTTATTAATGCATTGTACAGATACTTTTAACTCTCGTGAACATTGTACAATATCATTGCATTGTATTAAGCTACGCGATGGAGACAAAGAATTAAAAATATTAAAAAAAATTATTTTTTGTCTTTATTCCGACATTCCAAGATAAGCTGGGCTTGGCCGCACTGCTGAAATGTAATTGATAGGAATTATTTCAATCTGGATCAATAGACATTGAAAACTAACTAGAAAAATCAAAAATAGATGGGATAAATAGTCTCTTAATAATTCTTGTCTTTTCTCGTCCTAAGCGCGTCGTTAATTTTACTTAGGATAGATCATTTCGCAAACTTAGTCCCAGGCCTTCAGTTTTCTCTGTGTCCTTGGAATTCCAATATTGTGACATACGGGAACAGTACCAATGTTATAGTCCAAGCTCTATACTTCATCTACTCGAGCTTTTTTTCCCACTTGAATACGGATCCTTTCTTTTGTATAGAAGTATATATTAAAACATAGACATAGCCGTCCATGTAACGGAAAAAACTGTGATAATCTCCTCCTTAATAGTAGATAGGACAGGATCCAGAAAGTTGTACAGGCTTGACTCAACTGTCATATGTTAGAGCTTTATCTTAGAAACCTTATCTTTAAATAAGCAGCAACTTTCTTCTCCCAGTATTTTGCGATCTTTTACCTGAAAATTAACTTTATAGATAGCATATACTTTGATCTATAATTGTACTATGCTGCCTTGTTTAATTTCATCCAGTCGATCGGTGAGGTCTTCGCGCAGATCTTCGTAGACTGTAGTGAGTCCTTCGTCTTGAAAAGCCTCAGGTTCAAGTCCAAGGGACAATGCGATGTGCAGCTTAGCCTTTTGGAAGGTGGCATTGAGTTTTTCCTGTATAACATTGATGCACATTGAGGTAAGGGCCAGCCCAAACAGTAGATAGACAAAAGTTGCCATCATCGACAAAGGATGCTCGGGAACATAGTCGCCAAAACCTATCGTCGACATCGACACGAAAATAAAATAGAATGATTCGAACCAGGTCCAATCATGGAATATGGAAAACACCACCTGTTCAAATGAAATTAGGTTGATCGTTAGTAACCAAAAAAATGTTCACCTATATTTTTTCACGAATACATCTAAAGAATCAATTATTAGTACAATCAGTATCGGCAGATTTGGATGGGCGAACAGCAATAGAACACGCCTCACTAACCGATCCGCAAAGCATGTAGACAAATAAGAAAGCCACGACAAGTGTCACAGGTATATGCGGTTCTGGCAGTTCTCGTGAAGCTCGCCTAGGTCGCCTGGAATCGATCCCCCTTCGAGGCGCAACGAACGACGCGTCAGATGTTCCAGGTGGTCTGTTTCTTTGTGGGTTGCCAACGACAGATCTGTCATCTTGTAAGACTGGAGTATCATCCGGTCGTTGGTGTTTTCTGCCAATATGACCCAACTGGTTTTCTTCAACTTGGAGGTCAAACCGCGGCAAGCGAGCTACCCATGGAAGGAGAAACTGAAATCGGGAATTAAAAAAAATCGTCTTTTCGATATGCTCAAATCATTACGCTATAGCAATGGATGTAGATAAATCATTACAACGCTAATGCAGTTATACGTGATACTGTTTATATGTTTATATTATTAATAGACCAAATGAAATAGCTAGAAGATATGAATAAATAAATGTCTATGGCTATATAGATTTAAAGCGAAGGATTATGAGGGACTCTTTTCTGCCAGCCAATGACAAAACTGGGTCCGCTTCAGTCTGGTGGAGTTGGTGGGATGGCTGGTGTTATGGCCAAAGTCGCAAAAGAGTTCCTCGAACGATTAGTTGATTAGGGATCACCCTTAGTGGTGTTCGATAAGAGGAAGCCGTACCGATAGGCTAAAAAACGCGAGTGGCTTGAACGAAGTAACTGCCAGACAAGGTTGTGAGGCAGGTACATAGATTTTTACAAACAGCAGTCCAAGCTTGATATAATTTTAAGATTTGTGCAGAGGAGACGCGTGGGAAAATTTTGAGGTAAAACTCTTCGAACGCTACATTCCGGAAAGAGCAAATTCGCCTGGTCAGGAAATCTAGGTTAAATAAAATAATTTGGCTTGGATAGAAAAATCTTAGCTGGACAATAGAACTTGGGGGTGAGGCACGTGCCTAGGTACGTGGGCGTGACGTGTCAGCCCGCGGAAAAAGGCCACGGAAGTACGTCCTTTTCTGCTCCATCAACAAAAGATCTGCAAAAGCTACTGGAGAAAGGTGATTGTGGACCCTACTGGGCAAGCAGAACAGCCCAAGTGATTATGAATACTACAGGGACAACAAAATACATATAATATTTTGTGGGCCTGTTGCCGCGGGCTCATGAAAGGCACCCTTACCCATGTCGAAACCCAGAAGCCGTCCGACTAGTTAGTCGGCTTCAAAAACGGTTTCGTTCGACACGCCCATGAAGAGATTGCGAAAAGGTCTGGAGAGCGCAGTGTGAAATTGGATATACTGGGCGCCAAAGGATACCAGCCGCGGGATGCGGACATCTTGCCAGGTAAGAGTGAGCAAGTTGTGTTAGATCAAATAGTATAACTGAAATACGTGAATAAAAACACTTCTACGGTTATACAAGCGAGGAGCGAGTTGTGGTCGTGTGAACTGTTCATTTGGTCATCGATAGCTAACAGCAAGGCTAAGACATTATATATATATATATATGTATGTATACATATATACGCATATTTGTATTCCTTAACCGAATAAGTCACTATAAGGAACACATACTGCCATTACTTTCAAACCGCTGCGATCGAAGTGAGTCCCAATGATGACACAGCGAAAAGCGCGTTTGCCTGCTAAATTTAAGAGATGTGTGGCCTGAGTTGGAATCCTAACGTAAACACATGGTTCATTTCGTGCTGGAAGCCAGCGGTCTGATGAGATTTCTAACGGCGGTGCTGCATGTAAAACTTAAAATATTTAGCCATAGAAATGAACGTATGGCGTCTATTAAAATAGTAGATCTTTGCACATTACAATAAATATTATTTAAACCAGTTAAATAATTTGTATTGATTGCACAGGATAGGAACGTACAATCCAATACATTTAACACTAATTACATAGGAATTCAATAAATTATTATAATAATTGCATAGGATAGTAGCAAAAAAACCCACGCTGTTATATGTACGAACAACTCTATTAATGATGTGAAATACAGTGAACTAAACTGCGTGCTATCAATGCCTAACCCAGTGTTTTTGTGGAGGCTGAAACCTTATAGAAATTATGGAGAATCCTTTACCACAAATTTTAAATGAAGTTTTTCTTAGCGCTTGTTAGTTTTGTATTGGGTCTTACTGGTCAAGATTTTTCCATGTAAATTTAATAATGCAATAAATGAAAATCGACTTTTGCTTCGAGAGAAAGAATATGACCTTCAACACCAAAGAAGCTGCGTACGCTGTCTGAAAGCATACGATCTATTTGCTATGTAAAACACCCAATGAAAGAATAGGGAGAGCAGGGCAGAACATCTGTGCATATTCTGACAATAGCATCATGGGTGCAAATCGTTGGTGCTAACACCTTATTGAAGCAGAAACAGCGTATTGCATATATGTGTATGCTTATGACAGTGGGTAATGATATATATATATATATATATATGGCTAAAACAAATGATTTTATTTATTGAAAACGTGATTATTTATTTTTTACAATTTCAACAACATTTAGCATTCCCATAAGATCGGGCACAAAACCACTAATCTGATTGTCCAATTCTGTTCACCAGTATCTAACCAGTAACCCGTTGTACTACAGAAAAGACAAAATAGCCAAAAATTACAACGAAGTATAACTAACTGCCGATTACCGAGACAGTACACTTCTAGGAAATCTTAGTGAGTAAAGCAATCACACATAACTTCATAGCTATTTACAAATATCTGTAACGTGATCTTCGTAACTTTCGGCAGGAAAAAGACGTTTTTCTTTTTTCGATAGTTGGACAGATACGGGCGCGTGATACACCTGCTGCTGGTAAATTTGTCACTACTGCGATTGCTAATTTAGAAGCACAATAACATCACATTTTCGAGCGAGAAGGGTCGCGAGTGATTGGCATCTTAGGTGCACCTTTTTCCTCAGTCTGAAATCGTCGTTTATTGAGTAGATATGAAAATCCCAACTGTGAATGCACACCACGTCACATTGTCGTTCATTACGAAGTTGCTCGTGGGTGTGCAGAAGCCAAGCGATGAACTCTTGCCAACTGTCACAGTGCAATTTGGGATTAAACTCAAGAATCGACACATTGGTGGGACATACGGTGTTATGATATACCCGTCCAGTGTACAAACCCGCTACTTTTAGTTTATTGTAGAAATCGAGACCAGATACTAGGTGGACTTCTTCATCAGCTGGCCGTTGTGTGAGATCCTTTATCGTGGTTACTCCTTCACGTTGAAGGTGATGGCGCTTACTAACGGGAAGTAAAAAATGGCAGAGGTCTTGTCGGGATGTCATTTTTTTATATTCCTGGTTACTTACAGATGATTGAGCTTGGCCTCTTAGAGTGTCCTGCTTAAGCCATCCAATCGGTTTTTTTCAATAAACTATGCAATTCTATTTACCATAAAGCATCAAGTACCAACTCATGCCGTTTGTATTCATTTGAGAACCACCGCCTTCAATATTTCGCGACAAGTTTTCAAAAGAATTCTTCTGGATCAAACGCAGTATCGTCAGGTCGGGGTGTCAAAGCCTGACAGAGTATCTCTTTAAGAACACCTGAAGCTTCGTTTGGCTGAAGCGGGTTGAAGCCCGAAAGATGCTGGGGGCGGCCTATCGTTGGAACTGCATTAGAGTTCAGCTTGATAGATCCCACCCGTTGCAATTCCGATTGATCAAAATGCTGTGAACACAGCCTGTATCGCTGATAGATGTCTTCGGGCAAATCAGGTAGCCCACAAAACACTAACCATTGACGTCGTCGAACAGGATCTTTAGGGAAACGATGCAGGATCGCCCCGCGACATCCAGGTAGACAGCATCGAACCGAGGACGCTCCCGTGATTAGCGCGTTGATGTCATTTTGTGACAACTCTGCGGACAATGCGGTTGCAAAAGATGGAGAACCATTTCGACGGAACGCTCCGTCCGCCATTAGCGACATCCGACGTCTAATAAGGCAAGAAAGGCACACTGAAAGGCTCTACCGCCCTAGGCATTACCAGCGCTGATTACCCGTGTATTTCTCTTAATTCTTCATCTGTCAGTTAACACGGTACGCGAAAAATACGGGATTATCTTTTGACGGTTGTTAGAATGTAACCTCTCTCACAGAAGCTCAAGCACTAATCCCTCTCCAATGTATAATTTGCGAAAAAAACCGTTCGTTATCGTATAAAAGCCGTCGGTAAAAGCAGTACCGTCACGCCAGCTGTTTAGATTGCCTGCCGTAGATGGCGAGAAACAGAAGCCCGCGAAATTTGAAGACACCGCAGAAACGCCACTGGATATGTTCTTCGTATTTCACGTCTAGTACTTATTCCGTTCGACATTACTTTAGCTGGCTGACTTCTAGTATGAAAAGTCCATCCAAAAAATCCAAACTACAACAAGTTTCAATCAACACTTAATTGACAGTAAATGCCCCTATGGCAAACGTATGCTGTTATTAAGAAAAGCACCTGGATATTGAAAAATATCTATAAAATCCCTATATAGGCTTGTTTCAGTCTCATTCAATTATTCTTACAAAAGTACTATACGGACTTTGTACCCCCTGGGCAAATATACTTGCCCATAAAGGGAAAAGCGTGCTTTTTACACCTTACAGAATAATGTTAACTTGGTTGATTTTAAAGCTAAGCCAGGAAATTGCTAATAATTTCTTGAGTATATGCACATATATATACTTGCGAAAACTGCGCGAACGAGTATACTAAACTTGTGTTGTATAACAGACTATTTCCACACTATAATATACTTTGGAGGCAGCTATTAGATCATAAAAATGGGCAGGAAGCTAGCCGTTACTGGACTTTTTATATCTATAGAGGAAAAATGAAGTGGGTTTAGTAGGAAACCAAACACCTTTATATGTTGTCGAAACTCTATCCATCTGTCTGTTTGTCCAACCCAAATCAAGCCCATAAAGAATTCGGGCTAGGCTTCGGTATTTAATCTCATTCGGATTAGGCTTAATATTTAATAGGTCGCTAGAGTTTGATCTTAAAAGGAGCTGCGACTAAGATAGAGCAAATTGTATGAACACTTCTTTCCTCTAAATAGTAAAATTTTGTTTTCCCCGTAAAACGTAATGTTAATTTGAGCAAGCTGAAAATAAAGGTTGATCTTGAAAAGGTTTTTACGTATTCAAGCTTTCCAAAATGAACGAAACATCAGATTTGAAAAGAAATTGTCAATTTTTAACCTTCTGCAATTTAGTTGTGTAATGAATGACATTTGTGCCGAAACGGTTAATAGTTAATAGCCGACATGTGAACCATCTCAACTAATTTTTTCAAGCGAGCGAACACTTTTTCCAGGAACAAATTCTTTTTCCTGTAGTGGTGCTGTGATGCCAATTTAGTCAATTTTCAAAACAGCTTATAACATTTGATTCTGCAGATATGATTCACATTTATTCATTGGATGGATACTTTCTTCTGAGTGATAGGATTCATTGAAGTAGAAGGACACGATAAATGAAACAAGGTATTGATGTTATAACACCGTTGCAACGAGAAGGTGAAAATATTTGTACAGAAGCACGGGATTATGCTTAGGTAAGATCCCACGATGGCGCTACATGCACAACAGAAAGTTGGTTAGTTAAGAAAAATTTCTACAGTTTCATATTGATAATTTTGGAATTTAGTTCAGTTATTTCTTCAAGCAGTGAAATACACTTAATGAGTTGACGTATCGATTGCGCTAAAGTAAAGGGATTACTACGATATTTTACTAAGAAAGCAGGGTAATTCCAGCAAAGTAATTAATTATTGTTGGAAGAAAACAATAGAAGGTCACTGACTCCAAATAATAACTGATTAAAGCAAAAAACGTGATTACTCAAACCATAGAGTTGCAGTGGAATAACAGGATTCCAGGACGCAACTGGATATATTTAGTTTATGTATGGAATAGAGCAATATCTTACTATAGGGGTCAAATGCAACAAAAATATCAAATAGGCTGTTGAGAGAACTGCAGCTTCACAGCGGGACTGTCAGAACGTTCCAATAGTAAAACGGGGTGCGTGAAGCCGAATAATTGCGACGGAATAAATGTCTTTGATAAACTGGTTGAAATAGATTTGCTTTAGTGGGATAGCCACAACAGAATATTGAAACTGGTTCTACAGAATTTTAGCTACTTAAAATTCAACGGGATAATTGCAAAGGTGTAGGCTGCAATCGAGCTTCAATTCCGTAAACCAAATATTTCGGTCATGATGTTTTTCTTTCTATTTTTGAAATAACCTTTTTGAGTTATTACGGCCCAGTATTTTTATGTATATCTATGGGAAGGCTGTAGAGGCTAATATGAACAAAATTATGGTGAGGTTACGAAAAATAAGTCTCTTGTGACAAAATGGCAACCAATATTCACACGCACGCCTATTAACGGATACGGGCTTATCTTGATACCAACCGAAAGTCATCGCCGGTCTAAATCGAAGTACTATGTATGTTTCCATACATATCCCTAAAATGGTCATTTGGGCACCAAAGTCAAACGTGACATCTATTTGTCTCATGTAGCAAAAGGGGTGGAAATATATTCCGAGGAAACTTTAAACGGTCCTTTGAGCTAATTTTTAATCCATATCAATAAGAAAGTTAAAACGGCTGATATGGCAAACTTATCTTGTTATACCTAAAATCCATGTTCCGGCATGAACAGGGTTCGAAGATAAATTTGATGACTGTTTTTCTTATTCTGACACTGAGATAGAAGCATGGGTATCTATGCGCGGAGTGTATTCCTTGGCACCAATCGAAAGTTGTCGATTAGCTGAAGTATTATATATTTCATGTTCCTATACCTAAATTTTAGATTTACCATTTGATGGGTGAATATTTAGCGTGATGTTTTATGTAGGACCGGTGTTTTTACCATCAATCCAAAGACCCCAGTGAACTGAGCCAAAATACTACACATTGTCCTCTACCTGAAATTGATGCTTAAGCGCGAAAAAGGCCATTATTCCGACAAATTGTATCAAATGAAATTAGCTAAATCGAGACAGGCGCAGAACAAAGCTTTCCAGTCTGAACAAAGCGTGCCAAAGTGCCACGCCAAGTACATAACACCATCGTGAAGAACTGCTATTGCGAAAGATATGTATTTTAGAGAAATTACTTTTCTCTAGGCGATTTCATCATACAATAACATGAACTCCTCTAAAGATTGAGAAGTGTCAGTTAGTCTATTCTAATCCTTTAAAAATGTTGATCACTATATTGGTTTATCCTGTATGTATTAATCGAAGCTCTAGCATTATTGTAGCTCCTCCCAATATTAATGTTCTGGTTGCGCATAAAGCTAATCAATGTGTTACCTGCTGCTACTACTAATAATAATGGCAATGAAAAAATGATAATGACGTCCCTTGTATATATAATATATCTAGGTCCGTTCGTTTATTCAAAGAGATAAACATTCAAATGTACATTGCTATGTATTAGTCTTATCTTGGCGTCATATTATCACGTCAGACGTTCTCCGTAGCGGCACTCACGACGCAAACGATTCTCTCGTGCCTATAATGGTAGCTGCTGTGGTAACGATCTCCTCGAAAACCACCCGTCGTTAAAATAAGCGTAATCACATTCTTCGTATACTACCGACCGTAGAGCTCTCACTCGTAGAAATCGAAATAGGCTCGAGGGAGTCAGGAGTTCAGTTTAGTTCAGTTTTGGTTCCAATGAGAGTCCCTGCTAGCACTTTCAAACTTCATTTGCCCTACCCAACTTTCGCTTATAAACAGCATGCTAATCAGCGGCTCTATTTTGTTAATTTTCATTTCTTTTACATTTCACTCTATTCGGTAATGAGTGAAATATGCATCTAGCATCGTACCAGTCATTCGTAAGCGAGTTGATGATTGAGTATAATACACTATTTATCGTCGTTTCATAGTTTCAGAGAAAGCCATTCTCAGTGACGTCTCTTTTTGAACGATGTGTAAGCGACAATTGCCAACCCCAGGACTTTCGTTCTGTTTCATTTATCGGCATTTTGCTAATGTTGTCGATATTTATGGTAATGTAACGTTATATTTATTTGGCCATGTACAAGGTTCATGACGTGAAGCACAATTTTGCCTTGCTCTTATGACCGACATGTTGCTCAGAAGGTGTTGGTTCTTTTCAAAGTTTCTTAGCGTTACCCAGCATCTCGCCGATAATAGACCAACCGACCGCGATACATAATGTTTCTCCACAATACCGAATGGTCTGAAATGTTTATATGTTTTTTATAGATGTATAGAGACTTTCACTTGTCTGCGATTTTCTCCATTCGCATACATCCAATGTATACGGTGGACTATATTTATTCATCTTTTCATATAAATAGACGGTAATATTAAGAAATATATTTGGAGCAGAAACTCATCCGCCGTAGATCCTTTCACTAGGGCACACCTTATATAGAAGTTACTTAACTCTCCCGTTAAAATTCATGATATAACCTTTTCCAGCTACTTTTGCTTGAACGCTTTCCATACCAGACATACTAGTCGGTCTTTGTGATAGCGCCACTTAAACTAATGCTTAACGCTAAAATCTGACGTAGAACTCAAAACATTTATATAAGACATACGAGTCACTCAACTTCAAAGCAGGCCAACTTTATATTTGAATTATGCGCCGTAACGTACGCAAAATAAACCGTTAACGACTACTCACTAATCCAATGCAGTCTCTATTGTTGTTCATAGTTCATATACGCTACTAATAACGCTTTTGTAGATTTTACAAACAGCTTCTCAGTGACAGACTATGTGCCACTTCTACAAAAGCATATGACACTGAAATGAGCATTTCACTTCTTAAAGGTATTCACGTGTTATATAAACTAAATATTTTACGATATGATAATATGATCAGTCAAGCTATTTATTGCCACTATAAAGATAAAGTAGTTATTTTACGATAACTTACTAGCTTAATTCAAGTACAACGAAATAGGTATTATATCGTAACCACGGAAAAATACAGAAAAATGCACTAAAATCAAATACCTTGAAATTTCAGCTAAAATCAATATTTTAAATGAATATGCGCTACAAAATTCTAGATTCATTGTAGGATTTAGACCTTAGGGTACTTGTAGCACGTAACTAATATTTTTGAAAACTAGAACATTTTTCCTTGCTTACACTAAATGTCTTTTCACGCACATAAAACTCTGTATAGTTACGATGTCCTGTGTTTTAGGTGAAATGGGGTATTAATTCCAGCGGTATTAATATTGGTTTAGCAGGTAGCAATAAAATGAACGGGGGTTGAGTTTCGATATATATAAATTATTGTGCTGCGCATTCGGGTTGTTCTTTAAACCTCGTTAACTTGTTTTAGTTAATGTACATATATTTGGCTTAACTCACGTTGCTGCGGTTTTCTGAATTAAACAAATCATAAAGGCGTTACTACGAATGGTAAGTCAAGAATGGCGAATGCGCATTAAGGGTGCGTCGGACGAGCAAAAGGCAAATTTCATAAAATACATACTGAATAAGGAAAACTAATTGCTATACAAGACGTCGCCGTTACAAAGCCGATGCAGCCGTTTCCTGTTGTGCTCCATAATGTTCAGAGAAATGTGCCACACAGAATGTCAACGAAACAAACTTCTCCAACGGAAACTGAATCTTTTCGAACAGTTTCAATAGTCCTAGAGTCGACTTTGAAGCTAACAACAGTAAGTGCGTAAGCCCTTACGAGAAACAGGACAGGGTTGGCATTCTGCAGCAAGGCACTGTCAATAATCAATGCAAGCCGCCACGGGGCCTACAGGCCCTCCTCATTTACAAGTTCTCCCTAAACCTCGTGTTTCGTTTTGATGCTGTTAATGACCCTAGCCACATACAGGGATGCAATAGTGTGTTATGGTGATGTATTTCTATACACACCCATGGTTTTTTTGGTTTACAATGTGGGTGTGTGTGTCACAGTGTGTGTAAAAACCGTGTCGCTGAAGCGGCTTCTCTCTGTTCCGCTTCGGGTGCCTGTGTGTGCATAAGGTTGGCTGAATCAAATCACCAAAGAGCATCGGGGTTGTCCTTTTGGGGCACTTCAATGAGGCGTGGCTTGTCGATGACCTTGGCGGTACGCTGGCCTTTTTCAACGATGCCAATAATCCATGCTGGATAGTGTTCCTGTTTTTCTATCTCCCTGCAAAAGGTGGCGGCTTTTTCCCGCGGCAGCGCAATCAGCAGCCCTCCACTTTGCTCGGGGCATGTGCCCTGCGAAATGGGAAACTCAGCAGCCAGATTCTTGGCAATCAGCGGTAGCTTCGCGATCACGGGTAGGTTGTGAATAGCAAACGCTACATCGTTTTTCTGTACAGCAGCCAGCTCTTGAGCAGCCTTCAAAATGCCCACTTCGCTGAGGTCGGTGCAAGCGTGTGCACCATACTTCATCATCAATTTTGCGGCTGTTTTGTTTAGCCGCACCATGAGATCGTTAGCGCGGGCAAACGCTTTTCGGACATCAGCCTCGTTTAGGTAATACTTTATACGATTCCAACGGTCGGGTATCTCCATCCACTGGTAGACCGAGGTGGCCACACTGCTGCCTAGGGGCTTCGTAAGCACAAGTACGTCGCCAGCAACGGCATTATCCGGAACGAGGATCTCCTCGTTATAACAAACAGTAGCAGCCAATCCGCCACATGTCATCCACGGGTTGAGTGTCGCTTGACAGCCGTTAACGTTCACACCTGCTAGATACGCTTGATCCTTGAAGCCTTTTGTAATATAGTTGATTATAACTTCTTGTTCCTTCTCCGTCATTTTGTTGCTTATGTTTAACATTAAGCTAAGCGTATCGACCTCAACAATGCCGTACTTATACAGATGCGACAGTACTGCCGTACATGCCACCTTGCCCATAACGTATGGGTCGTCCATGGTACCAACGTTACGGGCCAGTGATTGAACAAGTACGCTATCAGGATTACGCGTCGGTGAAATCGTTACTTCCATCCCGGATCCGATTCGAGGTACACCAAGATGCATGTACGATGTTGAGAGATTTTGCATGTCTAGGTTTAGCATAAGTGCGCCAAGCGCCTCTTGACCCAACTTGCTTTCCTGCCGGGGTTCGGCGAAGTTCGATAACCGAAAACTAGAGTCAAGACCGCATGCTACCGGGTCAAACCGAGTGTAGGAATTTCCTCCGTGACTGTTCTCGAGTTCAAGTTTGACAGCGTGCTGTACAGCAGTTGCCGTCTGTCCTTGAGCCTGTTGATGTTGCTGCTGCTGTTGTTGTGCTTGTTGTTGCTGTGCCTGCTGCTGTTGTTGGTGAGCGCTGAGCGCATTTGCCGGCTGCAGGGTGATGAGGTCTGAAGCCCGCGCAGGCTGCAGGGTTGTCAACTCTGGTCTTTCCTGCTGTTGATGTGTTTGGTTATTCTGTTGAGCTTGTTGTTGTTGCTGCTGTGCTTGCTGTTGTTGTTGTACATGATTTTGCTGTTGCTGCTGATGTTGTTGCTGCTGCTGTTGTTGTTGTTGAATAGACTGAATATGGCCACCACCACTAGTCATTTGTTGAAGAACCTGTTGGCTGACTATTGGCTGCTGTGCAGTCTGATGAATTTGGTAACTAACTGGCTGCTGATGATGAAGCTGGGTTGGATGTTTGAGCTGATCAGAGCTCGAGCTGACCACCGCGCTGGACGTCTGTTGACCGGTAAGATTTCGAACAACCTGCGTCATATCTGGCAGACTGTGCATATTCCTAGCCATGTGTTGTGTCATCGTGCGAGCAATTTGCTGCGGCGTCATGTTGCGCGATATCTGCGAATGCGGCTGAATTGTCGACATATTGGTGAAGTCCAGCGCAGAGGTGATAAATGCTCGGCTCTCATGCGGATGCCGGTTGTTCATGACGCTAAGCGGGTTAGCGCCGCGTGCGCGGAGGCGTCGCTGAATGGAAACCGGGCTAGAACCCCGGGATGCGAGCTGACGCCGCCAAAAAAATACGCACCACACGCACACACCCAAAATAAACCTATAATACACAGAAACGAAGAACGAAAGAGTCGAATTTATCCCGAGTTGCTCCTACACAGCAAGCCGTAACTGAGGACAGTGCATTTGTCTAACGACAGGATCGAATAGGCTCTTTTTTTGGAAGCAAAATATGTTATGTTGCCTCGATAGGCACTGAACACTACCACTTTTTGACAGCGAACACTCTCCGCACAAGGTAACATCACCTCCTTGCTCGTCCGATGAAAACAACGATTGTGAGCTAAGGACTAGATGGCCAAGTGAGCCGCTACAATGAGCCACACTGTCGGGCTTGCTACGCCTGTCAACCTAAGTTTTACAAATATAATTTGTACTTGATTTAGCTAGGATAGCATCCTCAATCACAGCTGTAATTTTGATATATGCTAGTTGAGTTAAAGTTGGCCTTCAGCGGCCGAAATTGAAAGTGGTGGAACTGCTGCTCTTGCTGGTATAGCGCATCTAGTCTACATCAGAAGCAAACAACGCGATCGCTCTGAAAAGTAGATTGTTGGTTCTTAGCTGCTCGAAGGGCTGAACCTACGATTTCAAGCTTTTTGAAATATTTGTAGTAGTATCGATGTTATTGCATTTGTTTGTGACAATTCGTAGAAAATTCATTTTCCAGAGATGTTTCTAATTTGGAAACAATGTTAATAGCTGCTAACGCTTGCTTTCAAATGATTGTCTCCACTGTTCGTCGTCTTCATTTTAAATGTTGCGCTTAATGTATGCAAAGCCAAACTGCGGAAAACAGCTCGTGACCGTCTGCTGTCATTTGGTGAACTTTGCACATAGTTGATGAAGCCCATCTTATGAACATAGCGTTCAACATACATCTACTGAATTGTCTATGATTCATTGGAAATTTTTAAGTATTTCTTGACGTATGTGACATAAATATTGATTAAAATATATATATATATATATATATATACATATATATATATATTAAATTATTTCTGCAAAAAATGTTAACCGAAACTGGCGTAAATTGCTGTTTTGTTTTTTAAAATGCATGTGTATGTTGCTACTCAGTTTTCCGTGCGATTTCAAAAACATCCAGTGTAATTATTTTTCTCGATAAGTGGAGTAAGATTGTTTGGCTCGGTGTAATCCAATCAATCATTAAACACAGGGCTCTTTATAAATAGCATTACTATAGCAATAAGATTTTTCTGAGATTACCATACCATTTACGGTATTCTCGTAAATAATTTAATGATTTAGGAGACAACTAATAAATGGAAAATTTAGTTTCGTAATGACTCCCTTTACGAGCCTTGAATCTTTAGGGATGTCAAGCTCTTTTTCAACCAAGCGAATTCATAGTTTGACTTTAGACATCTTTCGTATAGGTTTTCTTAAGATACTTCGCATTTACAAAAAATACAGTTTCGAAAATTTTTCGTAGAAGATTGGCACTGATAAGGATGACACTAATCTAATATGGCTATACGCTGTAAAATGTTTTTGAAATAATGATAATTTTCGCTGAAATATAATAGATTATACACACCTTACTTGTCAGGTTTTGAATGCATGGCATGCGTAAAATTTATATATATATATATATATATATAGACAACTTCTGATAAAATACCTCTCATAATGAGTTATTTCTGTTTCAGTCGAATGGCTGTTATAAGATGAACCTCCATGTATTTAATTATTCAAAGTCAATCGAACAGTGCTGTCCACCGCTGAACCTCCTCATCCCTAGCCAACAACAAGACGCTTAGAAACAAATATTCCTTCTGAAGTTGGTTGTGAACGTCAATGATGCGACTGCAAACCTAGTTGCACCCGCCAATGACTACCCGTGTCTTCTCAACAGGCCTATCTAGGCCATGATTTGTCAATTGCATTGTAAATTGTTAAGTTCTGTGTGTTAAAGGTTTCGTGACACCACAGCTAACCTTGTGTCATGAATGTTGCTGTTAAATTACAGAGCGCGTTTAAAAAGAATAAAGTATCATTCTACAGTTTCGATTTTGGTACTAACTATCCACTATGGTAGCAATTATATTATATAGCGGAAGCTTTTTTGTGCCAAAAACCTTTATGTTACGAGGGTGTGTTGAACATTTAATTTGTTACTATTGCTACTGTTTCAACTGGGATCGTGCTGATTACCAATGCTCGGTAAAATTAAGGCTGGCCCCCATTTTTTACAGAAAAAAGGTCTAAGCTTATTTCTAGAACATTACGATTTATATATATAAAACTCTAATATTTCTAATAACGACATCATGATATGACGAAAACACTTACGACCCCTAAAACTTAACCAACCCAGAACGTTAAATGTGTTTCAAACGTTATAAACAATCATATAGCTTCGACATGTTAAGCTTAAGAGTCAAACCTGCTTTAAATACACCGCGCTTGAATATCGAAGTACAAACAAGAAGTAAAACAAAAATTGTTTTAATTTTTAAGTTTTTCATAAATTGAACCCCAGTGCAACACATTGCTGGCCGGATGGAGAGCGGGTAAATAGCTCTGATGTTATTCGAGATCAATAAAAATCTTTTATGCATTTCACTAAGAGAGTATTTTGATCGTCTGAGCGGAGGGCGGCACAATCCACACAACATAGCCATACTCCAAAGTGCCTATTTTATAACTTAATTTAAAATACAAGATAACTAAAACCAGATAGAACCAGTGCCATAGGATCGTATTATACGGTATAATATACAATAGACGAAGCTAATTCCCTTGCAACGCAAAAATATCTACAAGAAAAACGCTGAACATTTTAAAACTAGATACACCCACTAAGCTCGAGGTACGTCCGTGCCCAATTTAATTGGCTTTCAGTGTCACACCGTAATGAAAAGCGTTTTCTATTTTTTAGTTGGGTGGTCATGCTTATCTGGTTTATGTTCAGATGCGATGCATCATATACGTCAGTGCCAAGGCAAAATCAAACTGGGTCTTCTGTCTAAAACCTACGACTAGTACCTACGCATATGATTTATAAATGCAACGGAAATTTTTCTATATTATAAACAGTGAGATATCCGTTAAGCAAGTATTTGTTATTAAGCAATATATGCTAAATGTGGTCTTTGGGTCAGCTATTACATTCTTTCAAAGCCTACGCAGATGTTACGTAGAATTGACGACAGTTCCCTTCACTGCTGAGTTCCTAAGCGTAAGTTTTATTTGGTCATTTACTACCATACTTTTGATTATATATGAACCTTCGAAATTTATGGCATGCTTAATATCTACTATCTTAAGATACACCTGTTTTTCATCTGTCTTAGAGAAAAAAATAAATTCATTTGTATTCTCAGGATTTGCCTGTGCGTGATTGATACACACCAAAAGACCCATTTGAAGCATGGTGTGTTCAGTCTAGTGTACTGATGCCCAATTTATCGGCAGAGATCAACTATCATAGATATTTCAAACATGCTCGTTTCAGTAGATGACCCTTAGTAAAAGCCGGATAAACTGATTTCAAAATTCAGTCTGTCAATGTGATTTGTGGCAGGTAATCAGGCGAATATGCAAATCATTGGATTTCGATTATGTATGAGAAATTCGAAATGTATGAAAAAGTTGCACATGTTGCTAGCATAGATCATACTGATCCTTTCAACGAGCAATTTGTGCGACGCAGAATTGATTATATATAATGGAAATGCTTATTTAGGACGAAACTGACCGAAAAATACCACAGATCGGCTAAACAAATTAAGCTTCAGGAGGGCGGAAGGAATGTAGTGATGGGATCATGATTATTCATCATTTTGGGAGTTTGAGGCTGAATAGTCAAAAACTTTGGGAGTGTGGGACTACTATACAGACTAATTATTTGAAAAAGAGCCATAGTAGATCCCCTTCAACGGTCATAAATAATATATGAGACAAAAAATATTATTAAAAAAAAAAAAGGAATACCTGTCTTGGCGTTTTGGTGGCAGCTTGGCTTTTCTGCCGTATGTATCGTACTTCATCGGTTTCTACACATCGTTGAATAAATCGGAACGCCAACTTCATCAGCCGCGTGAAAAGTTTGCCTAGGTCTGCAAGTACGGTGAGCAGTAATGGAATACCAATCGAAGCGTAGACTATGGTTAAAAGCCGACCACCGGCCGTGCTCGGAGCGATGTTACCATAACCTAAACAGAAATGCGGTCAAAAGTAAAGACAATAATTGCAGAATTTAAGCTTCGCACGAAACTTTTTCACAACATATTGTTAAAACATCAGAACCAAGAGGCTTTCACGCATTGACTCGTGTGGTGACGGGACAACCCGGGTACAGCATCCGTACATTTTTAATTATGGACACCCACGCAGATCGGTTCATGAATCTCTTTCTAGTATATGGTGCGTACTTTGCGTACCTACATGGCCGACTAAACATTGTCTTGTCACTATTTCCAGTTCAATATTTTTAGCTCAGATTTATAAGGTCTAAACCCGGGCTCAAACCCGAACTTGTTGCAGTTGTACCACGGGTCTGTAACCCCGCATCGTTCGAGTCAGCTATTTTTAGCCCTATTGCTATTAAGTTATTGAATCAATTGTTTTTACCGTGACATTTTTTTACATACAAACTTTTACTGGTTTAACAGCGTAAAATAAAAATCGTGGAATCGTACAAATTTCGCGATAGCTTAAAACATAGGGTCAGAGAACACTAAATGATATGAAGATACTGAAGTTATTTATTTTTATAGGATGTTATATTACACATACTTTGCTCTAGCCATAACGTTTAAACTGTTCTGAAGGACATTCACGTCGCCCCTAAAACGTTTTGAATACGACCCCTAATAAGAACGAGAATATTTAGATATAGCTGGCTAGGGAGTCAAGTGCTGTAGCACAATATGTATCCCGTTCCTTGTCAGCATGTTCTCTGAAGAGACAAACTGAAAACTATTATTCTGTGACAATCAATAATGTTCACTTTAGTCATTTATATTAGAACTATGCTATAATAACTCCTATGGAAAACAAGGGTTGGCTCCTTGCAAAAACAACGACAGTATAACAGTACGTCTTCATTTTCTGTGTAATATTACAAGCCTATTTGTTATCTTCTTTGATTTTTTCCAGGAATAACAGTATATTTGGCATATTTTGCTTACGTAGAAAAAGCGTACTACAATCTTCCCTGCCCCAAACTTTCTAATGAAAAAATCGTCATAGCTAAGGAATGGGTATTCTGTACAATGGAATTGACGTGTCAGGACAGAGACTGTTGTAACAAAAATAGATGAAGCCTTGAGTTTGACCGCAAACACGGGAGATGCTAAGACAAAATGAATTTTGCAATAAGCAATTAATTATTATTTTCAAAATAGGTTACATTTATGTGCCTTGATGAATGTTTCTCGTCTTATGTCGGCTAGTGCCTTCAACCATTGTCTTGTTTGGTCATGCGCCTACGAAACTAGTACTGTTTATGTTACTAAAATAACACAATTATTCCGTTTTTTATGAAAGAAAATGCATTTGCAACACTATTTATATTAAAAGAAAATCTTTATAGAATAAAAATAGTAGCAGTACACTCAACTACAGATGGGAGATTTGTAAAATATGAATCTAACGATTACGTAGCTCTGCATAACAGACAAAATATTTGGATTTTTGAGGAAATCATTTTACGCAATGGAGTTGAATATGGTGATGTATTCGATTGGTCGCGGAAAACGGTTAAAAGTTTCTGGAAACTATTGGTATTTTTTGCATATTTGATATGTTTCCCGAGCGACCAAGTGCACATGGATATCAAAAATGAAGGTCAGCCTCACTTTGGGAGAGCGAAGTACATACATGGACAATAGTAAAAAGTACATGTGTGATAAGTACATACAGTTGTGGGCTAACGGTAGCACAGTGACAACATAATAGCAATGGAAGAATTGGATAATTGGCACATTTGTATCGGACACTTGGTACGGGATGGCAGAATGCTCAGGACTATGATTAGCATAGTGTAATATCTGAGAATAATTCGCACAAACAATTCATCAAATTAAACCCGGTGTCCCTAGGTGAAGGTAGGCGGATGTTGCTACCTGTACTGGGGTGCTGCTTATTACGGCTCAGGTCAGGCAGCGGTAACCACTCGGTCCACGTATTTAAATTTACGAAACAAGCACTTTTTTTTTAATTGTACTTTTCTATATGGTGAACGCCTATTGAGACAAGAGTTTTGAATTTCCTGCTTTGATATCTCCACAAAAATGTGTCCCCATTTAAATTGCATATTTCAGTTATGTTTTAATTTTTTAAGGCGAAGCTAAATTTATAGTTTCATTTTTTTCAACATACGGAGCTGCTTATTTTGATTTTTTACATACCTTGGAAAAGACTAGAGACTATGCATGTGTACTATAAGCTCTTTTTTTGTTGAAAATTGTTCTTCGAATCCAGATTATCAGGCTTCAGCAAAACACGGTGTGCTCGATACATCGTTCAAATCAAAAGCCACTATGTAGGATGCTCAGGGTCTGAATCAATACTTAATTGAAGTACCGATGTAAAACTCGAAACACTCCTGTATTTTGCGGGTTTTTTTTTATGTAGTTGACAACGAGTTTATGTTTTCTCGATTTTGAGTATTACAAGTGGTCGCACAAGGGTAAGCCTTTGAATCTGATATTTCGAACGCACATGTTCCGAATGTCATCAGTTAGCTTCGCACAAGATCAACAACATTAAGCTTTCTATGCTTCCCATGAACAATAAACACTTGTGTGCTGCACGATAAAGCATTGTGTCTCGTTTCGTCGTAGCCTTTTCTGATAGCGTATAAACATAGTATCGTATTGTGGTTTTCAATATAATAAAAATTCATTCGCATATGAAAGGCGCTGCACCTGATTTCAGCAATTAAATAAAGAAACTCGATTTTGGCTACCGATACGGTCTGGTAGGTTTTTTTTCTTTATTTAGTAAGATATACGGAATAAATAATAATAATACAGTCCACTATGTAAAAGCCGATTTATGCCATTTGTTAAATGTGGCATCGTTGTGCCTGTTGAATAGTCTTTTTTTGAAACAAATAGCCTCGTCTCAGGAATAAGTTGACGAACATCTACTTTCATCATGTTCATTCGTTTACCTACATCCATGTGCCTCAAGCGGGCTTAATGCTTGCATAAAACTATAGGTTTACACAAACACTGGGAATTTAATTATTTAGTATTCTCAATAGTACTTTTTCCAAAGAAGTAGCTATCAAGTCAGCAATGTGGCTACAGCTGGGAACCAGCCTTTCGTGCTACAACAACTTATTCACCTGCTTTTGTTTTAGGGGACGTCCCTTAATAGAACAACAAAACAGCGATTTGGTTTCTTCGTATCCTACTTCTATCGATACAGCGTAATGTATTACTGTAAAAAATCAACACGCATTTAACTGTAAGAGGACTTCCTGATGTTTTTTTTTTATATTTTAACCAGTTTGATCATTTATGGGCTCACTGCCCGTAACGAGTTTACTTTTTTTTTTACATTTATTTATTTAGATTACAATGTACATGTTGATAAATAAGTACAGAATACAGACTTGTCAGGTTTGTTGTATGAGATGGAGTCAGCAAAAGAGTTCCAGCGTTATCATTCGCAAGGCACGATTCGGTGGCTCATAATCTAGTTCTCTCTGAAGTAGCAGGTTATAGCAAAGGTAGGATCGCGCTCCTCAAGTCAGGGTCGATTAAAGGGGCTCGGGCACCAGGAGAAGGGCACCCTGTTCTTTGTCTTATCAATCACTGCAGGGTTCGATTGGGAGCCCTCTCAGGGGTCTCTGCGGATTAAGTATCTGTCTTAACACGAGATCTAACGGGTAGGCGTTGGAGTAGATGCTGAGGTCACTTCAGACGCCGTGTACTGTTTTTTCAGCCTCCAGTTAGGCACGCGGCGTTCGTATAAGTGAGTCATGTTGTAATCGGTAGCATAGGCATTACCATGTTATCCTCCATGTTGTGGTAACTTCGTCCTGCGGTCCCAGCTGACCTGCTTAGTTTCTTTGGGGTAGTTAAGGCCATAACGATTGTTTATTACCACAGAAGACTGGACACACAATCATTTGACGGCTTTAGGTTCGTATTTGAGGAAAAGGCAGTCTTACCTTGATGTACTGCATATGCTAAAGACTTTTATCGAGAAAAGTCACATTTGCATCTATTACTGCACAAGGCGTCTATTTCAATAGCCATTTCTCATAAGAAAGTATTCATAATGATTGTCGCATTGACAGAGGTTTCATAGCGGCAGGAGATAAAAGCTTACTCGAGTTGTTGCCCCCTTAAGTACATCAGAATGCTATATTTGAATAAGTTGTTGCTCCTAACTGGAGTTGAAAGCCTGGTGAACTGCTTCGCAGGATCTAGTCATACATAACGGCTTTCATGCACATTAATTATAATGTTTACCATAAACGATACTACCGACGGTCAAACTAACAGCACATACAGAAAGTCAAGGACATGCGTCCGGTAAATCCGTCACAAAAACGTGTGACATTAAGTTTGTTTTTTGGAGCCATCACGAGCTCCTTTTCATATTCCTATTCATTTCATTGAGGAAGCGCAATGCATATATTTTACTCAAATAAACCAATACCGTGTTTGGCTTAGTGATACAATGTGGCTCAACAGCTGTAACATTAATGTAAGCGATTCGGTCGTACGTCCTTATCTATGTGGTTAACATGGTAACAAACGCGTTAGTAGAACACATAGTGCAATCTACGTCATTAATCTTTGAGCTCATTTGACTTCGGTCGAAATTACGGGAACTCGTGATAGGCTATATGGAAGCTTGCAAAGATACGATCTACACATTTTTGTTTCCTATTTCTACCTTAGTCCCATTCTATATTTCCCCTTCAGCAAAGCCGAGAAACAATATCGGCCCATATTATTTCCGCTGAGCAAATTTTTTAAGAGTATTTCGAACAACCGGAAACGGAAATATCTTCCTGTCAATAATGACGCCGTTTTGATGCCGATAAACCATGTGCGTCTGTCTTTCTCAGCTTCTATTTCTCCACTACGCAAAAAAGACATTTCATTATACTATCATTTTTTGTTTGGCCTGGCAAAAGCAAGTTACGCAGGCCCTTACTCACAAACACCTACTATCATATACAAGCATTCGAACCCATGTCCACCGTTATGTAGTCCCAGAAAAATTATCATTCTTTATAGTTTCATGTTAGCCATTTCTCTTTGGTACATCGATACCTCTTGCTTTGTACCGATGGAGCTGCCAACAGCATGAGAGAGCGTGGACATGATGACAGACCTCTACAATCGACTTCTCACACTCTATAGCGGTTGGTACTGGACAAAACTAATCTCGGCACGAAAAGCATGACTAAATCTGCAAAGCGTTGAAAAGTTGCGTTGCCGTGAATCGGCCTTGCTTGGTGACAGTTTGTTGGGTCGCTGGGAATTGGCCCTGGTCGATGGCATTAGGCCCTGAACCAAATGCTATTTAGTAAAACTGTCAATAATCGAAACAAATGTGGACGCCTGAGCGCACCCTCCTGGTGTTGTTGCTTCCATCAATAGATTTCAGGGTCACAGATCGTAGGATGATTTGCCTATGCTGGTAACAGGAGAGCATGGTACCGCCAGAGCAATATCGATTTATTCTGATGACAACGACCTGGAACAGTGCCGGCGTTGTTACACATATACTGTTATTGCTGCTGCTGGAATGGTGGGCTATCGATGTGCTCAAGATGTGTCAGTCCATCTAAGCAAATCAGGTAACTTAGCTGTTTTGGGTCCGTGTTGAAACTTGATGACTAAAACCCAGGGTAAAAAAAAAACACAACTTTAAGTGAAACGGAAAAACGTTAATACAGTTCCTCTACGGGCTGCTGCAAATGGTAAATAAATGGACAAAATTTTCGATTATTTAAGTAATTTATATGCAATTTATTTGTGCAATGGTACACTTAGAACCCAATCTTTGTCTGTTGTACAATCCCGATAAATTTCGGATTATGATTGATTTATATTAATTGCGGTGGGAAACAGGCTGCTTCCTATGAAGGTAATTGCGATTCGCCAATATGTATCCCATTGATTGTATGAAGAACACTTTATGTGCGTAACGTAGTTGGTTGTTAAGTGCGGTCACTATTCCAGCATTATTGAGGGAAAAGACCAAACAGACGTGCCCAATGTCGTCGGAAATCATTAACGTACTTGCCTTACGTAACGTAAGAAGAAACGCATAAAATGAATGAAGACGCAATAAAAGCAGAATAGTATTTGCTTGTTCGGCCTGACTTTACTGTATCAGTTTCCCACTAAACAGATACTAGTCTTGATATGTTGAAACCAATTCGAATAGATTACAGGCGAAGAATGTAATGATACTTGCGTTTGTCAAATGTTACTGCCTAGTAAACTAATAACGAAAGCACACGAATTTAAAAAAGCTGCAATGAACAATGTTACTTGATTTACTACCAAAAAAAAAATAGAATTTACTCCTATTATGCGCACTTTTTTTTTCAAAAATACGTCGAATTTTCGCGCAGTAAGTTGGGTGAAATGTTCGTCTACTTACCTATTGTAGTGAAAACAGTGCCGCAATAGAACATCGACCCCCAAAAAGTCCACATACGTTTGTCGGATGAACTTTTCACTCCATCTTTCCACATTATTAATAGTTGCTCTTGATAGTCCTTCATGCGCTGAAGGGCAAATATCTTCCACGAGTCCTCATTTGAGCAGTTACATCCATTCCGCGTTAAGTTACTGTGAAAGATAAACATTTCACATTAAATATAAACCAGTGACAAACGCCACAAAAACTCGATTGTTGAATATTTTTATCCGCTTACTTCGTATTTACTACCACCATCATCATTTGTTCTCAATTTATTTAATATCGTTAAAAATATCGTACTGAAATAGCTTTATTGAGTTGCAAATGATGTCACATTTCGATTGGAAACAAAACAATCGGTATAGAACCTACTATAACAATTATAAAATAAATCTATATATGACTTAATATTCTCGCCACTTAGAAAGGCAAATACTTTTTAACAAGGGAAGTCTTCCTTTTTTTGGTGCGTTAACTCTCATTGATCTCATTAAAAGGATCGTATACTAAGTAAAAAGATCGTATACGTAAGTTAACACTTGTAGATGAAACAGAAGCCTAAAAAAACATTTTTTTTTCTAATAAGGAATTTCAAGGAAAAGGATTCTTTTTTTTTAGGCGAGGATCACCGATAAACACTTGGCTTACATTTTAAATTCAGCACAATTAGGTAACTCCCAACGTGACAGAGTGCCTCACGTCAGCGAAAGCGATGGTGATGTTATTACCTGAATACTTGCATCTGACACGCACCGTACACTCACGTATTCGTAATTACGGTACAGGGCTGGATGGTGAATAATCAAACGGATAGAAGTTTTTCAACTGGACACCCTTTTTGGAATCAAAATAAACGATCCTTACCCTAACGAGTAAAGGGCGATGTGCAACTGAGCGACATGGAATTCATCCTAATCCTGCAGCGTACCTTTTTGTGTCCAACATTGCCAATTGTTTGCTCTGCACGAACAAGTTTTCAGCATCATTTATCTTTAGGTTATAGCATTAAAAATTTAGAAGCAAAGTGGGTTTCGCTGGATTTAGGGGCTTCTTCAACGGACAGCGACCATACAAGTAGTTACTTTAACAACAATATATTACATTCTTTTACCTTCATTCATTCATTTGCCTTCTGCTTATTATAATCTGGTAATAATTTTAGCCAACGCTAACTTTTGAACTAACATGGCAGCATATGTGTCACTTATGGTTATTATATCACGCCACACTCGAAGAAATGCGCATTAGCGATCCAGACCACGGCCCTCCACTGCCTGCAGCTCTATATTTTGGAGTCTATATAAAGTATATAAAAATTATAATAATTGGTGTTTCGAAATACCCTAGACGACGATTTGGTACCAAAGTTAATAGGTAGGCTTCATATTAGACATGCAATCAGAATTGGAGACAAAAGCTTAATGAACTGACTGAAACTGAAGGCCAACTGCTATCCAGGACATGTCACTGGGGTAGTTATTGACAAAACCATGGAGCCAATTGAAATTCGCTTAGAGATGAAATTGGGCATTCTTCTGTTTGAAGCTTTCAGTGGGGTCGTAGCCCTGCATAAAAACCTAACTTCAGAGTAATCAAAAATCGTCTAGAGAAGTTCAAAGAAAATAGGCTTATAACGTTTTTTTTTCTCTTTAATTTATGTTACTTGGTTTGTGTAGATATATGATATAGCTATATATATACACAAACATATGTTGTAAGGGTTGATTATATTGAGTTATGCATGAAATACTGGTTAACAGACTTAAAGTCTGCAATTGTGTTTACTAAAGTAATTGGATCGGAGTGGTCGGAACGATCTCTACAATATATAGCATTACGAAATTTGCAGTTGCAACTCTCGTTATATCCATGGCATCCTTGTGTTTTGCAAATAAGGTGATGGAACCGAAGTCCTCTTATACTATAATAGTTGTTTTCACTCGCTTGCTCCTGGATACCGTCAGTCTTAACGGAATTTGATGAAAGATCTTTTTCGGCCGATTTCGACCTTTCCATCTATGCAATTTTTTATATAGTTCGGCTTTCAAAACACTGGACGTTCTTCGTATATCTCTGGTGAGCGTCGGAATGTCGATTAATAAGTTTCTTAGACAGCTGAGAGTTGTTGCGTCTCTAGCAACAATTCCAAGTCTGCCGACTGTACCCTGTGAAAACTTAACAGATACCGGACGGTCAACTTTACTCAGATAATTGAAATTTCGTATGTGCCAGTCGGTGCGATATGCAAACTAAGTATCTTAGGTGCTATCTCTGTTGAGAGTTTTGGCGAGCTAACGACTGTGACGGTCGCGACCAGCGTTTTTCCAATTTTTTCCTTCTAAAAAAATGGTTTACAATAGCTTTAGATGTCTTCAGTCAATATAACAAGCACGTTTTGACAAAAAAAAAATCTTAAATGTTTTGCGTTGAGGCTATTACCAGAGTTAAAAAGCAATGTATTTTGCAGGGTGATGACTTAAAAATTATTACTAAGAACACATTTTGTGTCGACTTTACACAGCTTTGAAACCCTATAGCTACTCGGCCATCTTTGATGCAAAAATAATTGTATATATAGAGCTAAAATATGAATTAGCTGTAGATAAGAAGTAAAACTCAACTAACCGTAAATTGAATCGGTCTAGCTCTAAGTTCATCTAAACTTACTGCATAAAACTGTTAGTGCTAAAGTTTCTTATTTTACTAATTAGATTTTCTTGGACTGAGCAGCTCAAATTGAGATCGTTGACAAGCAGATCTTATCATTTATTATAGATCGACTACATTATACCCTACAATTTCTGTTCTATAGCGCTTTTAACCTCTGTGGACGTCTAATAAATTAAGTGCTCGTATACATTTAGCAGACTGCATGTACCGGGTCTCGGTTCTAGTAACAACGTTGTTTATTCTGTTTTCTTTCCTGTTGCAAGTGTCAGTTCATAGGTCACACGGTCAATCCTACTGTAATGCAAACCCCAGCCGTGCTGATAACAATGGCATACCTTATTGCCTTATACAGCTTCGCATCGTTTTATTCGTTATTAAAATTTAGCCAAACCTATATAAATTTACCTCATTAAGTGAACCGTCCAAATGCGAAGTATTTGTATCACACCTGCAGCTGGACGGGGGGCTAATCGAACTTTATGGGCCGGTACATTTTCTAGAAAGGCACGGTTGATTAAAGATGTTTATACTACTACATACTTCCAGAGATGCGCACTTATTAGAAATTTAGTACAATTTGCGCTATTGGATTTTTTCGTTGATAAAATTCTGAAAGATGGAATTGTATGGGACACACAGGCATTTTTTTTTTTTAAAATTTTATCGAATTTCCCTTGAGCTATTGAAGATCAGGACAGTTTTGCCGCTCCCAAGGTACTGAGGGCCATATCGATCGTTGTATCTCGAGCATATGTGAATGTCAGATGTCGTCGATACCAATTTTACTGAAAAATCGAAAAAAACTAGGTAGTTTAGAGTAATGTATGGCCACGATAAGTATCCCAGTTTCAGTCCGCTCAGGTTGACTTTGGAAGACTGTGGCCAGATTGCTGTCTCTCTGCGCTCCTCGAACGAAGTGCAGTCGTGAATTTGCCAATTCATGGGCCATTAAACATCCGATTTCACTCTATGGAACGAATTTTCGTTACGGGTTTTATGTGTCAACGATATGGGTGTCTCAGTTCATATTTTCTCAAAAATTCGTGAGTTGTTTAAACTATATGCGAGGAGAGTCTTTACTGAATACTCTGAAATGATCTTTTTAGCTCGTTAGATGATATTGTTAAGCAACTTTCGATTGACACAGCCCCACCTAATCCTTTGTGTCGATTATGGTGGTCGAATTAGATACTTCCACTAGTTCTGTTAGTTAGAATGCTGTTGATTGTCCAAGCTGCCGCACTAAGAAAATGCACGATAGAATCCTAGTGCTACGTTGCTTCTTGGCCGTCTTTGATCTGGCATTAACCAATGAAACAATGTGTCACCCTTTCAACAACATTGCTTCAACATCTTCTTCAAATCATAATTAGGACGCGTAAACAGGCTCTTAAAAGTGAGATCATTACTCGATTAACGGTCAAAAGGCATCCTTTCGTACACCTTAGGGCGCTATCTAGAAACCGGCAGTTTTTACAAACTGCTGGCTTCGTAAATATTTCAACTTCTTTTACTCTATAAATGGGAGAGCACAGATAATTATCGCTAGTTAGGAAGTGATTATTCCCTGAACATATCCGAGAGAAGCCCTGTAACGTCGGTAAAACTATCTAATAGCCTGTACATAGGACCAGTATCATAGCCACCTTGCGCGTTTCCAGTGAACTTCAATTTAAGCTAGGTAGACTGATGTATATCACAGAAATCTCAAATGGTGCCAATATAATCACTGGAAAGTTGACCTGGTATGCACGAATGCCGGCTTTTACTCACTCTCACATGAGACTGCAAATGTAACACTCCGTTGAGCTTGAACTCTGCAAGTTGCTTCGTATCTTCATATTGTTCAATAATAAATAACATACAGGAATACCGCCATTGTCGCTAACTGTTACTAACAGTTCAATGGATTTTCTAGGCTGTTCAACAACTAGCCGTAGTTAACAGCCTTCTCACCAACACAATTGTTACCACCATCACTGTGGTTATCTAGCTAGACTTTTGTAAAGAGACTCAATTTATAATGCGTCGAAGGCCAAAGAACAAAAAAGAAATCAATCGCACTTAAGAATATATAGAAGAAAAACAATTGTCACGCAATCGCTTCCATTCTAATAATGTGCGACGTTGTGTAGGAAGTACAATAAACAGAAAAGACAGAGCTGGCTGCGAAACGTAGCGGTGATCATGACCGAGGTTCATGACAGGAGAGAAATATTTGGACAATAGAAATACAGCTTGTATGTTTGGACGTGCATCGATAATAAAAGCATGTGTGAGTTTGACCCACCGGCTGGTTCGGCACGGCACGTCATTGTGGCTAGTGCTGACCCACATTTAGCTGAGCATCGCCAGCGGCAAGTGCTTAGCTAACTGGTGTAACACAGATTGTAGGTCTTCTGTTATTACCATTGCAGCGCGAAACAACTAACTATAGGTGCTAAGGTAATGCATGGTGCGAGGTTGGGTGGGTAAAATCGCACGCACTAGTGAACCAGCATGCAAACCATGGGCTTTCCGATACCGACACAGCTGGGTCCAACCGAATTAGCCTGGCTGACAAAGCACAGTATATGGACATCGAATCGCGCACATATGTCAAGGAGTAAGCAGGCCGAAAGCGGATACACTGTCTATGTTTCGAATTTTACGTCCGGTGTCGTCATTAGACATTCCATCAGACGGCTGGCTCTCAGTACGAAACGAATCGGACATGATAAAACATACTAGTAGTGCTAAGAGCTCCGTTTGTACTCTGATAAATATCTCAGTCTCGAAGGTGGCGTTTGACTGTTGAACGCTGGAGCCATTAGAAACGGTTCATCAAAACTTTTTAGGCCGACGTTGATGGTCCTGATTGAGATTAGCAGGAAGAAGCTTTGACGCAGTGCTGAATGGGCATACTTCTTTCCTTTCCCATTTATGCCTATAGAGAGTACTATGATAAACAATGGCAAAGTAATACTAAGGAAAATTTAAATAGAAAAGCATTTATCGCGTAGCAATAAACAACTCGACTCCTTTATTTGGATTATTTTAAGAGTATAGCAACAAACATTATCTTAAGGAATTAATTATTACTACTTCAAAACCATGGCCACCCAAAAAATGTAACCACAGAGTACGCTCAGGTACTAACAGAAGCTAACAGACACACAAAGACTATAAACGAGTTTTGTTGGAGATTCTACATACGTGAGAACGAAACGTTCGACTACTGACGGGGGGGGGGGTCATAGCGCGAGGATCACTTTATTTTAAATTATGTACACAGTTTTATAAACCAGTACGAAACGGGTTGATTTACTAACTACGTATTTGATTTACAAGCATTTAATATTAGTGAGCTTGGTGAGATCTTATCACGTTTCCTAATTATCATTTTCCAATTCGTGCAGCTTAAGACAAAATGGCCGTAGAAAGGTATGTTTAAACAGAGAAATTTCTTCAATCGGTAATCTGACAATCTTTGAAGTTTTCGTAAAAATTCTATTCACCTTTCTAATTGAATTTTATAGAATCTTATTGGGCCTACAGGTCTTAGGACCATAGACAAAGATAGGATATTGTGAGACACAAATATCTTCAGTAACCGTTTGAAGTAGTCTCAGCGTGCAGAACGGATTCAGATTAGTGTACCCTCAAGAGACGCTTCCATATTTTCAACCAACAGTTGCATATAATAGATGACAAAATTGTATTCAGTAAATGGCTATTAAAGGCGCGATTGCCTCTTTTATATGCAGTTCCGCAAACGCGAAAAACACAAGACTTGTGTTTACTAAGTTGGGTGTACTAAGAAATTCGGTGAAAAAATCAATAGAAACAACTCCGGCGCCGTGTTATTACCATCCCATTTTTTTTCGAGACATTGGAGCAGTTGTTTATCTATTCGTGTCCTTTGTAAAAAAATTACATGATCATAAGTTGCATGTCTTTATCAAATAGCAGATCTCTATTTCCGACTCCACAGACAACGGAGGTTATAATTCTGAGCATAGCTTAGTGTATGTACACACATTACATAAGGTTCAGGGATAATTCATTAGAGAAAGCATATAAACACCTGAGGTGTTACACTTTAATATATTATACCTATGTCAGCAGAAGCATTGACTCGACGCAATCGACAGCACTTATACCCAGTCGCAATTTTCCTTACTCTATTGTAGATTCATTGTTGTATGGACACTGAAGATCACTGAAGGAACCTATGTCCCATATGTTGTGATATAGTTATTGAGCGTGCGTTATATAGGCAATCTTCTTTTAAACCTATTACTAGATAAACTATTCAAGCTTCACACAATCGTAATAAAAATAGCTTTGTGGCTGACAAATGAATTGTGCACTAGTTGTTTTTATTTTTTTAATTAAAAAAAACAAAAAAACAAAAAAAAAAAATATATATATATATATATATATATATATATATATATACACACATGTTTGCTCATTTAACGAATATGGCTTCACCAATGGTCTGTGACCAAATCCAGTGACACATTTTTGAACCAACTGGTCGTAAACGTGGTTAGTACTGGATGGTGACGAGCTTAAAATAAGATATTTGACTTAAAGCGACTTAGAATAAGATAAACGACTTAAGATATTTTTAAATAAGGCTTTGTAGGTTGGAGTAATAGAAATAACTATAACTTACTTACTATTGATATCTGTTTCAGTCTATTCTTTCATCGTTTTTCTAGCAGTATCTTACAGTTGTATAGGGTGCTTTACACAGAATATTGAATCTCGCTAATTTGTAAGAGCTAAAATCGTTCAGAACTAAAATTTCGCTACAAATTAGAGGTTTGTAGGGGGTTGGGGACGAATCGTGTCTGAAATGATAAGAAACAATAAGATTCACGATGTTCACGGCGAACAGAGCAGATCTTAAGAACTTACAGGACTTGCAAAATTTCTTTGTCACCCGACAACGCCCCGCGCTCTTGGGTTTGACCCGTGGGATTGGCCCCTTTCCAGCATTAGGTCTATCGAATCTGACTTAACTGTAAGTTCAATTATTTGGCTACTTGCAGCCGTTTTAGGGAGTACCGCAGTTTGACAAGTTTTCATAATCGGCTTGTCTGAGGACGACACCGCACTCAGTTCATACAAAAATAGATCATTGCAAGATCATATATCACCGCACGGAAAAACGTTCTCGTGTGTCCTGTAAACAATAATTTATGTTATTTTATATAGAGAGTCGTCGCAGGTAAGTAGAGGATATGTTCTGGTTGACGTTTGACGTGATCTAGAACGTTGAGCGTTCACGTTTATACAACACGGGAGCAATGTTATGATCATGTCGTTGGTTTTCTCCACTAGGTAGTTTACTATAAACTGTTTCGTTTGCCATTGACAGTATCGGCCTTTTTGTGAAGTTTATTAGAACAGGACAGTAACGAGAGTGATCGAAAACAGATAACAACAAGATTCTTTAGCCTATTCGCAGTTTGTTCAAAATTTCAACGAAAGGAAGAAAACTGAATTTAATTCAAATAAGGCCCAAGTGAACATTGCCTGTTTCTGGATTTCGATTACTTCATAATGATAGAAACTAGGATACTAGAGATGGCTCAGAACATATCTCCATTTGCGGGATCCTAATTAACAACGTAGTCGTTCTGATTTAAATTCTAACAACTGAAGGCTTTCAGCGTAAAACGAAGTCTGTTTACGCTCAGTTTTGTACCCAGACAACTCCTTATGCCTTTGAAATTTAGTAGGCAAATACTACTATACCAACAAGGGACCTAAATATCAATACGAGAAATAGCAATTTTCTTGGTTCCAATGTCTAGTACGTATTATTTATAGGATAAATACGCGTGAGTTATGATATTTACGAACTCGTCAAAGATAAATCTATTGTAAATGTCTAAAGAGTTATAAATTGTTCCTTAGGGCAGAGGCGGATCGAAATTATAACGAATCATGCATTCAGGACATGCAAAGGAACTCATTCAATAAATCAGATATAAGTTTTAATTCATTTATAGTAGCACACAATTTTGTATGTACTTGAGCTATAGCTTAAGTGGAGACAGATGCCTGTGTTACAGCTCTGATCTTCACAGGTGTTATGTCTGTCTGAACGAGAAAGGACATAGAGAGCTTTGATTGCCAGGTCTTCTGGCGGTGGCGGGTCTACAAGACATCTAGGTGAACTGAATAGTAAAAATATTGAAGCAATGCGCGATAATAAGCGGTCTGCAATAATCAAAGGACAGATAAAGGTCACGTCAGACTGTAATAGCAAGAATAATGAAAAGGTCGCCTCATATAGCAACTGTCTTGTCGTGTTTTGATTAAGTACAGGCTATATCAGCCTATGTGTCCATACAAAAACAAATATGGTTTGAGGGTGCATGATGTTTTTTAATGTAGAATACGTACTTGACGTTCCATAATGGCAACGCTGGTATCGTACTGTAATTTTTTTTTCTTTGTAACCAAGAACCAACGGCTAGAGAGATTAGTGTGACGGTAGTAGTAACGGCACTATAAGATTATTAGGTCGAAAAAACACTATTTCCGCCATTCTACTAGCGTGCATCGTGCTGTACGACGTCTTTACGGAAATTCTGGGCACACATATATATTTTGCTTATATTTGTAAACCTTTAAATCGGAGCGTACGTCGGCTTATTTACGGTCAGCAGGTAAAGACACATGCACATCCTCAACGAACTAATCAAATACCTGCTATATTCAAACCTTCAAAATTCTGGTTTTTGTAAGCTACGGAATTAGATTATGCTTGTCTGGTTCGATACACTCGATAAACTTCATCAAGTCTCGTGTTATCTACAGAATTCACACATTCGCCACAACTTTGGCTACATGTTTACCAAATCTCAATTTCCCATTTAACAGAAGTTTGCGTCGAGTCGATATGATCGAGTTATTCAGTGCGTCTGAAGCTAAATTCATAGTTGCTCCTCATTTTACCATTTTACATATCGTGACCTAAACGGATTCATTGCTTTTATATATTGCAAAGCATGTATGGAAGACGTACCGGTACATCTGGTCGATAATCCCGTTGCGCACTAGATTAACGTCTTCTTTAATCGGAACTTCATGCGGGCCTTCGATAATCTTGAAGAAGACAGCACCAATGACACAATAGCACATCAACACCGAAAGGAGTATTACGTGAGTAAACCATTTCTGCGATGCCAGTTGCAAGCGCTGGGCGAGCTTGACGCCTAACGATCTTCTTGACAGCGTCATGACATGCATTGGATTAACCACTACAAGACGCGGGCCGCGTTCACAGCCCGTGATGACGTAAGTACCCGAAGCGGTGCGGATGAAGGGTGTTGGGCGGAATGGAGTCACCGACGGTGATGATCCTCTTCCAGACATTTTTGCCTGAGAGGCTGACGCTCCCATCGTACTAGTTCTCCTGGAATCGCTTTGCTCATTCATTGTTCATTCGCAACTTCTCACAACGAGTGTGTTCTATTTACTATCCAACGTTACACTTACTGCTATTGCTTAAAACGGTCATTTTTGTTGGAAGACGATGGTCACACCATTGAGATACTATTCATTTGTTCGTAATACATATGGCACTATTTTTAAACTTAGGTATGATATCTTTGTCATTGATATATACACATATTCGACGTAAGGATACAACCTATTTTCAGTTGCTGTCTGGTATTATTACCCTCTTCTGACTATTAATCTGCGAAGGACATTTTCTGTGTTATTTTTTGTAAAGGCGTTTCGATTGTTAACAGCTTAATCGCAGTGGCCTCCTGGCTAGTTAACGTTGGTCGGTGAATCCCTTAGCGTATCTCGACTGACCGGCTACCTCCTTGTTGGACGGACTGCTGCATACTCCGTGCGTGAAGATCTTGCGTGTAACAGTATCACAGAGCGGCACTGGTGCAATCTTAATAATTCCGCTAAACTGACACCTTTCCTTGATCGTCTATAATTGTGTGGAAAATAAACACTCTATCGTAATGGCCGTAATACTAGTAGCAATCATCGTCGTGGGGCATTCCGGCCTCTCGCCTATACCTTTTCCAATATTATTTGTTGGCCATATACACCGGCTACCTGCTGTAACCAACTCCTGCATGCCCACTTCGCAGAGATACAGGTTTGGAGGCTACTAGGTACATGGTTTGTCCACTGGAGCCATTTAAAGAGGCGCGTGCTGCAAGAGCCAAAATTAAGCTCATGCGCGCCAGGTGAGTACGCGCGGTGTCTGCCGTGGAGAGGAGGCATTGATGGGGAAACTGAGACGGAGGACTCGAACCCGTGCCAGAACAGTCATCTCCTTAATGAGGGCTACAAATGCGCTACTGCCGTTCCATTCGACAGGATCCCTCCCCTGCTCGTGTTATACGCTCGGTACACCGCGCATTCTGTTCCGTCTCTATTCGTTCAATTTAGTTCTGCTTTGCAACTTTTCATTTACTTTGCTGGCTTTCCCTAGGTTATTCTAATGCGGCCCTGTTCAACTCAGGGTGTAGCGCCGCGCCCGTCGCTTCTTTGCTACTAATGCCTATGCTGCTTCAGGAGGAAGGCGCCTTTAGCGTCTGCGGGAGTCGTGGCTGTAGCGGCGATCACGGGGTGCCGTTCACAGCGCCGCCGTTCCTGTTCGCCGCGCCAGTGCCCCGCGCGTGGGACATACGACCACCCGCCATCGGCCATTTACAGGATGGCTCGGTGCCGATAGGCGCAGACACACACCGTTTTAGTTATACCCTGGTCGCATCTCACTACTGCACGATTACTTAACGTCTATCGATGTGAGATGAGGCCCGTAGAAGTCCGGCGTGCGTATGCGGGTATGTATTGTATTTGTGCGCGCGCCAATGAGAACGTCCCGCTAGCGCTTGCTTACTATTTATACATTTGTTTACGTTATATCCGCGTCGCGAACTACGGCGGAGGTCGGCCGGCTAAACGGGCGGACTAAATGGGAGGATTATAAGGAGAGGCGCAAGCAAACCGTCAAGATTGAGGCTGGCTCTACGAGGGCGCGGAACTGTGATTCGACTATCTCGTTCAACAACCTCGACAAACGTTGTCCAGTAGAGTCAGCGGGTGCAGTCTAATGAAGGCAGGAAGGTGGATGAAAGGTTGCTGAAGGAGCTGTAGGAAGAACGTTTCAGCACTTGCTTTTCACGTAGTAATGAGGCATCTTTTCTGATCTAGCAAAGGTCGTTTAACCTATTTCGTGTAAGAAACGTATTGTTATTTTCATTACAGGCATTTGTATTCTTTTAGACAAACGAAGGCATAACAGTGCGAAATTCGACTAGTATAATTTGCCAGTTTTGCTTGTTCAGTAAGTCATTACAGCCAACCCTATTTGTAAGTACCCTAAACAAGAAGTTCGATATATATTGGTGTTGATACGAGAAGCATAGGCGAGCCGACCGGTCAGCCTAGTATAATGCCTATTTTTCCAGCCATACAACCTGGCATCTTCAGCCAGCCTCAGCGGAGTCCAGCCGTTTCAGCGATATTGTGTCACGCTATCGATAGCTAGAGCCGATACCCGGATAAAGCTACATTTAAGTGCACTCACCAAAAATACACGATTTCTTGCTAGAAAAATGCTAACCATTTTAATGATTTGGGTTTGCAAATATCCCGAATTTTAACACTGCCTGGAAATAAAAAAAAAAAAAGTAAAAAATCCATGGTAAAAACTAAACAAAGAAATGCTAGACATCATACCCCTAGAAAATTTTGTATCTGTAATTTCGCCACGTATCGACCCCGACGACAGACCAGTATTCAGTTTTGAGATGATCGACAGGAGAGCTCAGCTAGTTGTAAAAGCAAAAGGCAGTCAACTGTAAAAATTACAGAACTCTTTATTCGGCTAGTTCCAGCTACTTCGACTTGCCTCACCTATAAAGGCCTATACCAAAGTGCTAGGTCCAATCACCTTTTTATATCTTTTTTTTAGCGACGGTCGAGAAAGCAGTGGTCGTCAAGCCGCACTGAGGTAGGCTATGACTCATGTGCGGTTCTTCAAACACGAATCGCACGACAGGTAATCTCGTCAGAAACTATCGCGCCCATATGAATACTGATGACATAGTAGTTTGGTAATTTCATAGGCCATAGCGTCACAGCGCTAGCATACTTTGAAACCACGTTAGAGTCAATATGTAAACAAATTTAATTGATGAAACAGGTTCGGCGAAGTTGTTTCAATGCAGCTCGAATCTCTCGTAGAAACGTCTTTGCGAGAATACGTCCCTTCAGCAACAAATTACCTTGTTTTGCGTCGTTGGGGTCCGCAGTGAGAACGCGGCAACCAGGAATAGCATACTTCAAACCGTGGGGTCGTAGTAGCTTGACTCCTAGGTCACTGCTGTTTTTATTAACGGTTTCTGATTGTTTATGTACTAGTGGTCAGATGTGATACCATTGAGAAGATTATGAATAAGAAGAACGTCTTATCATCATTTTGTCTAAGTTTCCCAGTTTCATTTTAATCTTGATCTTCGAAATGGGTATAATGTAAATAGACGACCCCGGTAATTTCATATAATGAAAGCTATATTTAAGATGATACACATGGCAATATGGACTAGCAAGTCAACAACGACGAAAAGCCAAAAGGACAACTGAAAGACGCACTAAAAATCGGTGTTAAAAGAGCCAGTGAAATTAATTTAGAAGAAAAAATTACTAGAAGATCCCATGTTCCTTATTGGCTTATCATTTTTAACATCCTATTTTATGGTTGTTATCGGTCTGCCATCATTCTTACATTTTTCCAAAAAAACTGTGCTGGTTTTTGTAAAATCGATGTGTGATCAAATGGCTTATGGTTTGCATTTTTCGATTGATTTCGATTTGTTAACTTAATATCTTACATACTGTCACAACTTTTGTTGTAATATAGTGAGTACACAACAAACTATTTTTTATTACTTATTTTCAGTACAGCTGTCGAATTGGGATATAAAAACATGCTTATTGAAGGTTTTGTCCAAGATATTAAAGGTGCAATAGGACAAGCGGTTTACAAGTTTATATTAGCGATCTGTAGCTAGACTTTATATGTCATTGCCAACTTACTATTATCATTTTTTGAGTTATCATACATATTCTTCAGTAATACTGATAAAAGATACAGGCATTACGTCTCGTGTATGTAAGCACGTGACCCAATTTGTCGGTTTTTCATCCTTAAAGGAAGCACAGATGCAATATTAATAATAATTAGGCAATTTTTGAAAAGTTAATGAGTGCCCCGCTAAAATTATTATGGGACAGTTTCTATTAGTGTCGAAAAGCCAATACTGTATTACTGTGCCAACGAATGTTTTGAAAACCTATTGTAGAAAAAAAACTGGATTTTTTCGTTGTATTAACCCAGGCGTTGATCGACCTGTATTATGTCATGCTACTAATTACCTAAACTAAAACGTCGTTAAGTGTGCGATCTTTGATTGAACCATTGTGATCGTACATAAAACTTTTTCATAGCAGTACTAGTGTCCGAGCTGTCTACGGGTTCGCTCTTTCTTCATTGGTTACCAAGAGTTCAGCCTCGTCAGGACAAACCGCCAAAAAGCATTTCATTTGTAAAATTACTGTTTCTCGCGTTCTGCACCGACCTTCGCCGTGCGTACTCGATCGCTGCAAGTGACTGTGTACCTGAGTGTGTCTATATTCAGACGGTCGTTGTTGCTCGTGACGTCAAAGTCGATCGCTGCCGGCATGAGCGGCGCCATCGCCACCGCCACTTCCGTCGCTACCTCCGAAATCGACGCACAAGGAAACTACAGGGTCCAGAAACCTCTCCCCTTCTTGCGCGTTCTCTTCATCCCGAGCAATACCTTGCTCGCCTGTCGCAAACAGAGTGCCACCATCGATATCGTTTCCAGGGCCAAGAGCTGACACGCGATAAGCGTGTAAACACCATCAACTTTATTCTGACAAGTGCCGCTCGTTCAGTCGAGTTATTAAATACGATACCACATATATCTATATATAGCGTCTGATCAAGTTGTCCGACACTCACTGCCATTTTCTGTTCTCAAGTCCATCTCCCCTTGACTGCGAGCCGTGTGCTGTTTACGGTTGAAATGTCTTTTTGCGTCAGACGAGCTGCAACAGTGTACGCTTATGCGATTGTTCGTAAGCGTTGATGCTGGTTTTCATTGCGGCGTCTTGTTTAGCCACACATTAGGCGCGCGTAAGATTACCACGAACAGCGATCGATACGTTCTGCATATGTATATCTAACCATTTCTATTGCTACCCTCACATACTTAGTTCAGTCTGCTGTACAGAACGATCAATCCTACTATATTATAGACAGATTACCAGGTAGGATATCTATTCAACTTAGTTCGTTGGGCCACGACTTGATCAGTACATATCGAACGGTAAACAGTACCCAGGGTTTGTGTTGCCGTCGTCGTCGTCAGTGGTGCTCACCTTGACGGGTACGGCGTTTATCGATATGTTTTTTCAGGCGAATACGTGGACGCCAACATTCAATGTCTGTTTGCCTATATTTGAGTGCACTTATATGACAAAGGCTAACACACAAGCCGTTAATATCATTGACGCCTCGACATCAGGCTCATCAAGCTTCTAGAAATGCCGGCGATTGTTTCTTTCAGCTGGTTGGGCTATGTTTTACCATCAAAATTGCGTTCTGTTTAGGCCCCATCAGCATTGAGGATTTGTCACCTGTCAAATAAAAATTCGATTGGCCTGTTCGTATTTCGCGCGTTTCACATTCGTAGAATGTCGACATACGTCTGTTTGAGGTGCGTCTCATTCACGTTGTTTCGGTGCACCTCATCGCACTGCTAATGAATCAACTTACGGTAGATCTGTCACTGAGACAACATCTGTTGTTGTTGTTGTTGTTGTTGTTGTTGTTGTTGCTGCCGCCGCCGCCGCCGCCGCCGATTATCATCGTAATGGATATGGCGTTATTATACCTGGGTTTCACTATAGCGTACTCGCACTTTAAGTACGACTTAAATGATCTTCTTAATAATGCAAAAAGTTCTAGTGAGGTGGACTCTTAGATGTTGTTATATCAAATTTAGCAAACTTTTACCTGTGTCAATAGCGACTACTTAGATGAACATTTAACGCAGTTATATAATTTAACCTATTCCGTGCAGGCTTTGCAACCGAAGACAGCCTAGGTAGTAAGTTTACGCTGAAATATTTATCTGGTATACCTTGGTATGATGCAGACAATAATAAAACAATGTGAAACTGAGTAGCAACAGGTATAATTGCTCCCAGAACCTTATTTATTTTAATAGTACAAAGGAAATGAATTGACATATTGGTAGAAACGAAGATTATCTGAACCATCCAATGCTCTCGCTTCGCAAACCATAAAAAGTACGTTAATATTTGTCTGTACGTAATGTTTTTCTTAATAATTAATCTCTCTAGGTGTTTGAAAATCGTATTATGAACAGGGGCAATTATGTTCGCGAATAACAAGGTTAACCCGGGACGAAACCCAACCTCTACATAACTGAATTATATGATATCGCTGCCTTTTCGAAATTCAGTCGCAATGAGACAAGCATGCGTTTCTGCGTTTTCTCACATCTCGTGGCTGAGCTTCGAGATAATTTTCTGTACTACTCAAAATGGATAATCTATAACAACTTGAGATAAATGTTAAAAAAGAAAAAGAAATCGGTAACTTTTTTTTATGGAAGAAATTATTAGGACCCGCTCTACCTTTCCACTCGTTTAGATCGTTCGATACGCACGCGTACAAATCAATCAATAATCCACAGATCCATATAATGACCCCTTTTCCTATGCGACTAGGGTTCGATTTTTCAGCGCTGCCTGAAATGAAGTTAAACGAACTATTCGTAGCAAATAGTTTCTTTGAGAATGTATTTGTATAGTAAGAACATCACGAATCAACCGGATGCGCCTACAGGAATACATACACATGTAACGGAAAACGGTTCGGAAGTGACCTCTCTATGGTACGAAAAACATCTTGAAAAGCTGTATGTAAAGATAATTCTAGCTTTTACCGATGACCCGTCCATTTTGACTTCTTATTTTCCATTGACGATCTTCACAGTGAGAGCCAGTTCGTGCAACATGGGATAAATGTTTTTGAGGAGTTTCAAAAGCACACATACACATAGTTCGTAGTTTAATACGGGAAAACACAAGGGCACATGTAACAATTGACTCTAGAGCGGGTGCAACAGGATGGAGTGTAGGACGTGATAGCTTAATAGGCAACGTATTTCTTCGCTAATCTTACGGGTATATAGACTACACTACATTCAGACCTCTTCATTGTTATCGATGATATGGGTGCAGCTTTTCTACAGCTTCAATTGTTTATGTTGAAAATATACTAGAACGTGTGTCTATTCTATAATACTTCAGCGCTATTGTCAGTGGCTGAGCTGATTGATCAGTACGTTTTTTAAGCTTATAATTATCTAAATTTGACTAATCGTATATACTATTGGTTAATAGTGGTACGGTAGAGTATTCAGACTTAAGCATGTTTATAACCATAATTTGAAAAAAAAAACGTTGTCTGTGATGCTACTGCACACATTCAAAGCGCTACAATTCATTTTCGCTCGCTCATACCAGCTCATAATTGCTAGAAACATACAGAAAATAATTTTTATTAAATATTTGTACATATATGTCAAAAAATTCGTAAACTGCTGTATACTAGAGTCAAATGCCGCCACTAGAGTCTCATAAAAGAAAATCAATGGAGATACAATACAAGATTACAGAGAAGAGTATTCGATGTGGTTTGTATTAATGTACAATGCATTGGTCGCTATTGAGATCGTTTTGAGTAAAAGATTATACACAAAAAATTCAGCCAATATACATGTATCAATGTTCATTTATCCATCTCAAACGTCCGTAGCACACGCTCTAAATCACATTTTTTCTAAATATTTGTTTTATAGTGACGTTTGTAGCAAGTAAATTATATACTTGATTCATATAAGCGTATAATTAAAAAAAATATATATATAATTAATTAAAAGCTATATGTACCGGGATGGTATGGTGCTTATATCAGCACTTCGTCACGGTTGTTAAATTCCTATGGGTTTTTTCCCTGTCATAGTGCGTAATGAAATATCAATCGAAAACAAAACTGATTTTTGCACAACGAAAAGTAACGCACCAAGGTTTGCTGTCGTCCATTGACGTCTAGCGAAACATGGATGCGGACATCATAGCGGCGTCACGTGTGAAAGCCATATCCGCACAACAGTGCACGCGCTGCCACCAGTTGTTACCCTCAGGTTAACCTCTATAGAAAGCTGTGTATCAACGCACTTTTCGAGCTGCACGGGCGTGTTCCGGAGGAAGAGTACCGCAATCGATTTCTGTTTTGGGCAAAAATGAAGGACTTTGTGACCGAATGCTGTATTCATTTTGTTTACGTGGATAAACGCTATATGGTCAAGTGTTTGTTATATACTTACTAATTTAGCCAGACGATCGTAAAGGTGTCCCGCCATAGCCGAAATGTTCAGGATTTTGTGAAACTGTAAACTGTAACTACGATTAAATTCAACGACAGAGCGCTATGGAAAAGTCGCCTAAAAAACTGCGACTTATTAGTTTGTCCATTGAGCATTTTCGATCGTTCGAGTACGCGTACGTAGTTAGGTTCAGTCCGAAAGTAACGGCCATAGTGGGGCCGAACTGGGCTGGGAAATCCAATATTCTTAAAGCACTTGTGTTCGGCTTGGGTCAAAGCGGAGAAGAGATGTTTGTTGATGACATCAGGTCTCTTATAAACGACAACTACCTAAAACGATGCCAAAATATTGGTGGTGAGTAAACGCTACTTTATCTGTCTGTGCCCTCCTTCTAGAGATAGGAATTTTGAAAATTTGAGGATTCTAAAGTTGATACAAAGTATTAATATCGTGTTCCTCTTTTTAAGGAAGTTGCTACGTTATTCTTCAGGGTTCACTGTTTGTTACTAAAATGTGCTTTTCCCTTGGCCTGCCGTTAATAATGAACAATGTCAGCCTACGATGCCACCAACGAACCGTTGCAAGCTACTATGCCACATATGTAGTTACTTCAATTTGGCAACAGTAAAACCTATAATAGTCAGGAGAAAAATGATGAGTATTTTGGCAATGCCCTGAATCACAACATAATACTAGAATTTATAAAATTTAGTAGCTTCTGCCTAAGGTGCCTAAGTTGATAAAATATTTTACAGGGAAACTGCTGTAAACAGAGGCATATTTGTCCAAATTTTTTCCCTGGCTTTTGTGTTTTGCGAGACTTACATAAAGAATTAGAGCGTAAGGTCAATCTTTCAAGTCACACTGATGAAGCTATTTCTCAGATCTGTCGATTGAATATATCCAACTCTGCGCAAAGAAAATGGTCGATTTACGTAATCAGCTGAGTTTTTCCCGATCGGCAATGGTAATCTTTATTACGACAGTTCGTCTGTCTTTACACCGCCACGATACTTAGCTAAAGCAAACACATAGGACAATGCGATTGAAGAAAATGTTGTTTGTGATTGCAGACGATGGCTTCTGTTCGGTTGCAATCTTAGCTAATGTGGACGGAGAGGAGATCAATTTTAAAAGACGATTGTATCAGGATCTCAGAGAGAGTTTCCAGGTGCGTTATAAACGAAAGTGTATTTTTATAATATTTGGAATTTTTTTTAATTATAATATTTATTTTATTATAATATTTAGTATATTATTTATAATATACTTATAATAATGTTCATGCTTAATCCTTCTCTAGGATGGCTGATGGAAAATTATATTTTCAAATGCTTTACCTTTTGCACTACAACACTTACGATGCGCCAAAGCCTTATGAGCATTGTTGATTATTATGCTGTATCGCATTATCGTAGAAAGTTTTATTCCTTGCAGATCAATGACGAGCCATACGATGCGGCCAAATACCGCGATAAGCTGTTTGAATATGGTATTCGAGTGGATTCGTGGGGACTTGTTCTCCGGCAAGGATCCATTCAGAATATAGGAGGTAAAACTCCTAAGGAAATGTCCGCTTTTTTAGAGAAGATGTCTGGATCACATTTGCTTGCTGCAGATGTCAAAGAAGCAGATAAAAAGCTGCGAAAAACGCTCGGAGCCTTAGTTAATGCAAAATCGGAATTAGGAAGACTGCGCCTTACGAGACAAAGATATAAAAATTTTGCTAATGCAGAACAGCTTTGGGTTCGTATATATGAACACCGTGTTGATACATGAAAAATGGCTGAGTTTACTAAAAGCGATATTTATCTACAGGGGGTGACTGTTTATATTCTATTATGAATATTAAAAAAATAAACTTATTATAACAATAATTTTTTATTAATTGTTTCATCTTTTACTGACTTTTAAAAATAATGGTTAAAAAAGTGTTACGATAGTCTCTTTGTAAGCCTTTACAAAGGGGACCTATGGCTATTCGTCATCATATTATCGACAAATAAATATATTTCACTGTTAAAGGTATTTCTACGTAACCTTTTACCTAAAAATCAGGATATCCTTTACACTAGCACGATGACACTAAGAAAAGAGATAGGTTTGGCATGAAACACTCACCAATTCTCTATGTCTTTTCTAAACGAACTTACCTTGTTTAGGTGTGTGTCATGATATATTTTGCCACTCTGGCATCCACCTATCTCTTATAGGTATATATAGACAGCGACACTTGTTTGAAGCTCTTAACCCTCTTGCAGCACGAAGTTAATAACAAAGAACAACTCCTGGACCTGGCGAGACTTCGGGGGACGGATGAGAAGATTCGAATTTGCCAAAACGAGATCTTCAATTTTCCCGAAAGCGAGGAAGAACAAGAGAGGCAAAGGCTGCAAGAGCTTAAACTCGAACGTCTTGTCATCCAAAAGCAGGTAACTAGTGAAATGATGACTCATACGTCAATCCAGTTTATCATAATGCTATTCGACGTGAAATCCATGTTTCACTCACGCATTGCCCATTACAAACAGTAAATGTCCGTTTATACGTCGATGCCAGAGGCACATTGGAGTGTCCCATTGAACGGGACAGTCTAGGTAGCATTGATGAAAGCTTACCATTAGGTATCAATCTCCGTACGAATACACTAGTACGGCATAGACAATTGACATGTCGATTTCGTTGGGTTACATAGTTGAAAAAGAACATCGAGACAATCACAAATGAAGAACGATTATTGGCAACGGCACAGGATACGCTGCAAAAAATTAGTACGATAAAACAGCGCTTTGCTTCGCTACACTCCGAAGCTAAACAACAACTGGGAGATCTTAACGCCCGCAGGGCTAAGATCGAGGTCGCCATCAGGTAAGATGTCATTTCGATGCATACGAATTTATTTATTAAACGTGTTCTAGGCTGACAGGATCTGGTGCGATACGCCACAATTCCAATCATTCGCAAACGGATCCCATTCCACGGGTTTAGTTTTTTTCTGCCTACTACTACTACTATCTTCTATTAAATATTGGTTTTATCTATTAAGGACATTTGTTTGGCAAAGATATCTCTGCACTATAAGTACATGTTGCCAGTTATGTATGAGTAGTCCATACACTGTCCTGGTTGCACTTGTCCTGCTTGGATGTTTATATATTGATGTCAGCGAGGCGAAGGCGGATCAGCAGCAGGCACAGATAAAACTACCTGGCGTAAAAAAGAAGGTTGAATCTGCTCGAAACGCTTTGGAACCTATTCAGGTGGATACTGACATCTTTGTAGAGCTGCGAAATTTGGAAGGCGCTTTTTACCAGGAGCATCGAGAAAACTTGCAGGTAAATTGATTCTTTCCTTTCCCAGTATAAGCAGTGAATCTCGTGAATGATTGTAGCAGATACGCAGAGGAGGACTGAAATATAGCTACTGCGCAGTCTCTATTTAACCATATGAAATGAAGCCAAAATGCTTGTCGGGTAATAAGGTAGTATTTCTTGATCTTCATCAATACTGATGGACGCACTAAGAGCACATAGTCTGCATGTATGTAGTCACAGAAACTTCTATGCCCTATCATTGATCTATTGAGCAATTCGTATATATGATCGACTTGTATAGTTGAAAATGAGCTTTTTTTTTTTTTAATTCATGATTTTCAGCAAGTTGAATCGTTGGAGGAACGTCGTCAGTCACACATGATGACTTACGACAATCTCTCCGTGGCATTAAAGAGCGAGGAGCTAAAACTGGACTCGATGAACGACGAACTACAGGAGCTTGAGTTGCGACGAACGAAATATAAATCGTCCTTCGATAGTGTGAACTTTAACCTCGAACGTGCTCGGTGCGTTTAAGACATAGGTTTCTGTTGTAAAAGCCGTCCAGCCATTGTAGAGAAATTTTGTGTGAGACAGACAATGCTTTTCCGTATCCGATAAGAACTGAATAGCTACTATTAGACTCCGAATGCTTATATTTTATGTGTAAAATTATAATTGACCGCGTTCCTAGAGGTTGGTTTCTCCTACACCTCTATTCAATGACGTCTGCTCTTATCATCAGTATCTTAATTGACTATTAAATGTCGCCCTTGCAGCATAAATTTGCATTTAACTCACCAAGCATTTCGCATTACGAGCGCATTCATAATATTGGTCGATCGTGTCATGATATGTTGAACAAACGAAGTATCTGTCTCTTTCGATCATGTATGTATATATGTGCATGGTAGGCTTCAAGTACGAACATAATTTGGTTACTATTTACCATAGCGGGTATACATTCATCCGCGGCTTATCCTCGATACCCAAAAAAAGTCACTTCTTACTAGAACAAAACAGCAAGCCTATCTTGACGGACCGAACAATGAATTATTTTTTTTTGCCGAGTTTTCATCCTAGAAAATCCGGGAAAGACTTTCATGAGGCAAGCCGGGGGGTCACCAGTAAGGGTTAGACTGAACAAGTTCGAAGATAGGTCTTCGAAATGCCATACACCTGAGTTTTCGATACAGAGATTAACGGCCGTTTTGTAAAGGAGAATATTAATTGCTAATCAGATTTTTCCAATGAGCCATCGGAGTTTTGAGACTTTTTGTACATATCAAACTATTATTTGCAGATTAACAAAGGGATATTCTGAAAATAGCCATGTAGGTCCCGAGTGGTGATTATATAGAATAAACAGGACCGCTAGGAGTGATGTGTTGTAGTATTTGTTAATGGAGAACGTTCTTTTGACGTAGTTTATTTTCCCAAATTTTCAGAAGCTTTTTTGAAAATCGTAGAGCAACATTTGACACGGCTTATAACAGTTATGCTTCACAAGTGAAGAAAACGCGTGAGCTCACTATGCAACGCGACTATATCTGTGGAAGGGCAAAACGTACAAATTCTCGTCGACACACTGAACGAATTCTTGATGGGCTGACAGCAACCTTCGGCAATCATGTTGTCGGTGTACTTGGGAATCTGATAATACCCTGTAAGCCCGAGTACATGGCCGCTGTACGCAAAGTTCTCGGTCGGTACAGGTATTCCATAGTCGTGGACTCTCGAACAGTGATGCGACAATGCCTCTCCTTCTTAAAAGAATCAAATGAGCCTGTGATGCCTGTTCTTGTACTGCCTTCCACTGCACCAAAATGGCGTCCGCTGCCCAAAAGTTTAACAGGTCGAGCATTAATGTTCGAAAGCATCTGCATGGTCACACAATCGATACCGTTGCACTTGCAAAATCGCGTGTTATACCTAATCAGAGACTTATATAGTGATGTTGTATTCTGCAACGAACCTAACACAATCAAGAAGTTAACAATGAACAAACCCCAGAAGTGCTCTGTGGTTATGAGTGATGGGAATTTTTTGTCGAGAAGCGGTGTATTTGAAAGCGCCAAGAAGGAAAAAACATCTGGAGAGCCCGGCCATGCAGCTGCCATCACGGAGGTCAATGAGAAGCTTGCTGAGGCAACGATATGTTTAAGAGAGACCGAAGCTACTTTGGAAAATTTGCAGGAGTTAGGTGATCTCGAACACGGGTATGAGTTACTGGTCGACTGCTATCAAGATGCCGAAAAACGACTGGAAATATTAAGCAAAGAAGTAAGCATCTCGTATTTTCCATATTTATTGTCGACGATTAAACGTGCAGGCAGTAGGAAACTGGTAAGGACGATAATCTCTTCGGGCCTTCTCCTATCGCTGCTCTGTATCAGGGAATGGCATACAGATCTTTTTCGTTCGCTATCGTCACACTATGTTACGATTTTTTTAAAATAGCAATACTAATTATGTACCGCAGAGACTGGCACTGGATTTTATCTACCTAACGCACTAATCGTTGCCCCGCTTAAAACCTCTTCCAACAATACATGTTACACACCCTGCGTAAATAAAGCGAACTATTCTGATATGCGACAGCGCGTTCTAACTATATATTAATTCGGGGGTATCTTTAACACAATCAGTAAATAAAGCGACCTATTCTGATATGCGACGGCGCGTTCTAACTATATATTAATTCGGGGGTATCTTTAACACAATCAGTATATAAGAGCGTGAAGTGGCGGCAGTAAGTGATACTTTAACTGACAGCAGCTGCGCCATTGTTAGAAATACAGCTTTCAATGATAATTATATGTTGCTTTAAACAGATAATTAATAAGGGCAAGATTGGAGAAACTGTGATAGTGCCACTACGCTGTGGAACTCTCAACTACTGAACTCTATAAAACCTATATTTGGTTCTAGACTGATCTTTATATTTTTCCTCTGTGAGCAAAACCGGCTAAATGGACATAAAAAAGTACCCCCCAAATCAGCACAATTCAGTAGATAACGTCTCGTATAAGTATGAAACATAAACAAAATTTCTTTCCTCTGCAAAGACCATCGTTTAAGATGTATGTCATAATGCATTGTTTACTTGGATTTGATGAATGCGGATAGTAGCCTACAAAATCGGCAAGATTAATTATGTTAATCAATGCGCTATACAAAAGCCGCTAGTACTTTTATGCATCGACTATAGTTAAATTTTCTTACGATTTGTACTTACAGATTGAAAGCAAGGAAGGAGACCTTGATGTACTCGTACGCGGGGTTGAATCAGCTCTAGCGAGCCTTCGGGTAATTATACGTAGTCTTCAGTTAACGTCCGGTAGGAACCTTTTATTGAAGTCTGTATTTACGTCGAAATTTTACGCTAATGAAAGAAGCGTTGCTAAAGAGGACGAACCATTGGTTGGGTTCTATAGTTAAATGAATGAAATAAGTTCTTTGTTCAGCAGCAGGATACATAAAACGTGAGGGCAAGAACCTCAATCGAGAATACAATTGAGTCCATATGTGGGATCAGATCGAAAGTATGCATTTCGTTTATGGTATTATTATTATCATCACTGTTATTTTTTGCGAGTTTCAAGATTTTCCCATAAGGTACTTTAATAGCGTATTCGAACCGTGCCTATAGAGGAATTAATTAACGATCAAACGCCGCCGAAGAAATCATGAACCTGACAAATTCTGGTAGCTTTTTAGCGTCTCTTTTTTCTTATTCGAAACTTGACCATTAGGTCGGTAGAAGACCGAATCTGTTTACGACCAGCCCGACAATATTGTTTTTCTCACGCATTCGGTTTATTACGCATTACACGTACTCATACTGTCATCTACTTAGTAGGAATGTACTCTTACCGGGGAAATCGAAAAGAAAAAGCTACGGCCGATAGAGACGATTGAAAAGAGAATTCGGGATCAGAGACAGCAGTTATTGAAAGTGTTTGGTGCGAAGTTCGATATACCACTATCCACTCTTCTTAAGCTCGCCAACTCCGACGCGGTTAAAGCTGAACGACATTCTCTAATAAAGGATGCAGAATCACTGAAGCGGTCAGTGTTAGCAGACTCAACCTAGTAAATATTTCAAATTTTAGAAAACCGTATTTGCTATATCAATTTCAGTAGGTCAAATAAAACAGCTTGCGTGAAGAAGAAGTCTTCAAAATAGTTGCTACTCGCACTTGAAATTATTCAGGGTTTTAATTAGTGGAATTGCTATCCGTACGTACGCTTATTACGAATGTATATGTCAAACACATATATGTTTTTCATGCAATTTCATATACTGTGAGTACATTTCAGACTTGAACTCACGCTCGACAAAGCTGAAACTGATATTTGTCGTCATGAAGACGATCTAAAGAAAATTGACCGTGAACTCGAGTCAGTGATCTCTAAAGAACAGCACGCCCGTACCGATGCAGAAGGAGCTCAGGCGGAACTTACCAAGGTGCAACAGGCAGTTGATTCCACCCTATCCACACTTGACAAACTGAAAATTCAAGATAACTTGTTCAAACAACAGCTCGTTGATGCTACCGCCGCTGTCACATCTGCAAGCCAAGACTGTGCGCGTCGTCGTAGGGTGGCAAACAAACTTCAAACCGAAATAGCAAAGTTGAGATCAGATCGGGCTTCGCTTCTCGGGCAATATGTGGAAAAGTTGCCTCGCGAAAGAAGTACGTTATGTAAACCCACATGGCTGTGCGATGTATTGAGCGCTTGCACCAGTCTCTAACCAGAAAACAACCGAGAACTATAGATCTTGGAATTTCATATAAATTCAACTGGAAAAAGAAGTGATGGGTATTATCATTGTCACAACACAAACGCGCTGTACTGTAGCACCACGGAAGAATGGACACGAAAAAATTACAGCTGTTTCAACTGCGGTCCTACCCGGTACTTTTTGATGTTATTCTCACAAGAAGATAACCTCTTCTCGTCTGATTTCTACTCTAGCTTTCTATCGATGCTAAAAGGCTTTACTGATTATTTAACTGGAGTTTCAATATACTGTTTTCGCTTCAGAGGAAGATTTCTTCGGAGCAACTTTCGACGACCTTGTTATGATGCAGGTAGACTACACAGATTTACCTGAAGATGTCTGTACTCTCAGGAAGATCGACAAGTTCTGTAATGAAACTGAATTATTAGTCTCGGAACTTCGTGTGCTGTTACTGGAGAGTCGTGTTAGCGTTCCTGATCCGTAAGCATCCAGCGATGAAATTTTTCTTTTTTATAGAACTGAATTACTTTTTTAAAAAATACCATTGCCTATAAAAGCCAAAAGTACTCCTGTTGAGGGAACAACGCACAAGTACGTCCTCTACGTACTTGTGCGTTGTCCCCTCAACATCATAAAATAACTGACGCACAATTCACCATTTTATCAAAATTCATAAAAAAGAATAACGCTACAAACCCAACAATAACGTATATAAACTCAGTAACATTTTATTGAGAAATGCATAAAGATAGGGACCATTTTAATGAATTACTTATAATCCAACATTTGTTTGACGTATGCTCATATCTTGAAACTCTTCTCTCAGTGAAATCAGTAGCCTTACAGGGTTACTTTCTCTTCGTTCACTCTGTAATTACGTGAATTCAATGTGCATTTGTTAATATTATTATCGGACCCAGGCGGCTTCCGCCACTCTATCGATGAGATTATGAGCAGTATCCTAACACATGTACACTATTCGGCTAAACGTTAGTTTCTAGACCTATTCCATTTTCGCACATGACCTGCACTACATGTACATAACAGATGCTATCTAACAGTCTTACTTAGTTACTTTGTTCAATCTAATGGAAAACGGGTTTGGATCTGCTTAATCCAAATTTTAATTTTGAACCCGAGCTCGCCACAGTTGTTCTACCAGACTTCTGCATTATGCCCCTTATCACACAACAATTACTCTTGTTGCCCCGCGCAATTTTCTCATTGCAATTGTTTCATTCCTTTATGTTATACTTTATTTACTGTGCAATGCGAGTTTAATTAACTAATTTGTTAAGGTACGCTGATTTAGATACTCGACGTTCTTCTTTTGATCATTTGTGCCTACTGCTGCCCTTTACAGTAATTCCCTATTCTGAATGAAACTGATCTTACTTCACTACATTATATGTGAGTATTGCTCTAGAAATAACTCAAACAAATTAGATGAAAACACCAATATTTGTCGGAAACTTCCGACCATTTTTCATCTCCATGGCAGAAAATAAACAAAATGTATTTTCTTTTAAATTCGGCTTTGCCATTTCAAGCATTCAATCACAATTAAAAAAAAAACAAGCGGATTTGGCGTTTTTGAATATGATATTAATTAATTCTCAACCGTTATTGAAAACACTGCCTAAAGAGATAATCTTTCTCCAACTCAAATGACAGTATTCGAATAAGTGGTGTAGAATAATTTTTATTATTGTTTCTTGTAGTGTATAAATATGTCATAAATCTGTGTCCTGGACGTGCAATTCTATTATTATCAGCCTGTCATTATTCCATTGCGCCGAATACGGACGTGGCTTTTTTTTTGCAGATTGGCAGTAGCCGCAATTGTTCCAGGTAGTCCTCTTACTACCCGTTTAAGATGTAATAGGCCCTTCATTTTGTAAATATTCACTAAGAGGCATTATTGTTTCCATTATAATATGTTTGTTACCACTATGATGAACAAATTTGCAGAACCTCCGCTACTAGACATGAAAACCGTTACAAAGGCACTGTAACAAAAGTGAAAGAACTCATGCGCAAAGCAGCAAAGGAAAAGAAGACACTAAGCAAGCTCGTCACACGGCGCGCTGAGATTTTTACGACGTTCATTGAAAAACTGCAAGAAAAGGTCTAATTTTAATATTCTACTAGTTTTTGGATTGTCGCTAAGCAAAGCGCATCAACATGCGTAGCTGGTTGGTGCTACTAGGGTACTCGCCACAGAAATTCGAATTTTCTATTAAGCGACAGGCGTGTTTAAGTAATATACCACTTTTCTAATAAAGTGGTATATTACTTAAACACTTTCTTCTAATAGAAATATTAGTTATATTTAGTTATCTAATCTGAAAACTACTGAGCCTCAATATCGATAAATGGTAACGGTCAGATCGTTCACCCTCGCAAGAAATAAGCTTAGATCTAATAGAGTCAATGGCATAACCTATGATACCTCCCACGTTTTTAATCATACCGAGAACAAAGCGAAATCCGAGGATAGATCTGGTTTAAACATAAGATGTTTCCCGTGAAAATGCATCTAGTTGTAAAGATCTATTAAACATTGCATTTATTCGCAACCTGATATCGTCCTGGATTAAGGCATTACGTTACGCCATGTCTTGCACGAATTTGCATGTTCGAACTTTAGCGTCTCAACTTAACGCCAGTAACATATTTTCTCTTGAGAGATTACGGCTTATTCTGCAATATCAACCTATGTCTAATGTGGTAACAAGTCACCACTAGCCGCGTAAACAAAAGCAGCGAAAATTAGTACTACATGTCGGTTATGGGTACAACAGCAGCGGTGAGTGGCTAATCCAGTTAGGTTAACACCGAGCATTTCTTGCTCAAACGTTGGAGTAGATAAACATATAGTAGCTCTTTTAATGCTTCTAAATAGGGCAAGGGCAGTACTAGATATACGCTAACTGCATCTGTTTTTATAGGTAGCTCAGACCTACAACGAACTAACTAACGGCGGTTGGATGACAATCATTGTCGGTGGCGGTGGCTCTGATCCTTCGCAGGCCTTTGATGCTGGGGTTCTACTCGATTGTCGACCGCACGGGGGGCAATTTACTGAATTTGCCAACCTGTCAGGCGGCCAAAAGAATCAGGCGTCGCTTGCGTTACTTTTGGCAATTCATTCGGTTCTTCAGTTGCCTTTCCTGGCGCTTGACGAGGCGGATGCCCCTCTCAGCAGCCAGCATTGCCGAATCCTTTCTCTGTAAGCTTTTTTTTTTAATGATACAAATCAATTCCATGATAATTGGCGCCGAGAAACGTTAGCCTCACTGAAACATTGCAAATAGCTGTTGTTCAAGGTAGAATATGGTGCAAGTTAATCACTTGAAAAACCCTGTTGCCCCTAGATGCAAGATTGATTTTGCTTGTACAAATCATATAATATAACGGCATAAATGATATTGTTGATTTATTTCAAATTGTACCACTCAAGGCCACTACGTACAGTTTTTTTGTGACGATGTAAGAACCAGCGCTTTCTGCATTTGTCGTTATTATTTTCAAGTTTTTACGCCATGACTTAGTGAACTTATTTTGTTCTCTCTTGAGAAAACTCATTTTATTGAGAAAAAATCATGATTAATACGTTTACTTTAAAGTGCATTATTTTTTGCATAATGCAATAAAATTAACAGCTTGTCATTATTTACTGTTATTACCGTTACCTTTTCTAATCTATAACGAGCAGATACCTCCATAATCAACAGCAGCAAGTCATTCTTGTCTCTCATCGCTCCGGAACTTTGAATAGACCTGCTTTTAGAGAGCTGACTTATTCCGTCGTTGGTGTGACTAGAGGTCCCACGACGAGCGGGAACGAAGAGGACACTCGAATTTATTATGCGTGTCTCGATCGGCTTTTCGACAAAGGCGAAGAGTTCCATCGAGCTCCATCGATCGATAGTATCTATCTTACAGATGAACAATTAGCCGAAATAGACAATGCTGCCTCCGAGCAAGAATTGCAGTCAGTTGAATCAATGGCATCCGGAACGTAGGAAGTTGGAAATGTCGAATTGATGGAAAAAAGGAAAAAATAGCGGGCGCTTAGTTCGGGTTTAAATTTAAATTAAAGGACAAGGCAGCTTATAAAAGAGAACAGTGCTGCGGGATAAACAAGATTTCTAGCTTACATAAATGCAATATAAAGTAGGTATATTATTCGGTAACAAAGAAATACATTGTTATATATTACGATACATTGTGCATTACAAATAACACGCCATTGAGGACAACACATGTGAACTAAGAAGCTTGTCGTTATCAGGAAAAGCGATTGTGTATAGTAATGGAAAACCTCAATTGTACAATGGAAAGGCGATTCTAAAGAACTTGTGTATTTTAAGGTTTGCGTGTCTTGCGCTATTGTCCATCGAACAGTTTGTAGCAGTTGTAATGTTTGTAAAAAGCCATGCGACGCATGTAGTGACCTGGTTATCCATAGTCAGTATAGCATACCTCATAGATACGCTTAGTCATTGTAATCACGTTTAGACCCGTTTTAATAAACTAAATTGTGTTTGTTTTTTTAATAATCAAGCTCCCTAACGATAAGTTAATTCAGAAAACAAATTCAACACAGGTGGCCGTATATGCATAATAATATATTAATAGTAAGCCCGTTTGTGTAACATGTATCTAATAAATGTAACAAGTGCAATATATATATATTTTTTAAGCTTTGTCCTGATTTTATCGAATATTTGAGGAAATTATGAATTTTATCAGTTGCATAGCTGACTACTTTGGCCAAAAAGGTTGCCTTTCGTGTCAACAGCAGCTTGGTGCTTCTCGATCTTGCAAGCCAAAGTTCATTAATATATTATAGAAAAGGGGTTATTTCGCTTCATTTTGATGTTTGTACATGAGTCTCTAAACACTAATCTTTCTTCCTCATGACCTTTAAATGAAGCAACCTATGACAGATATTAACTGTTAGTACCTTGATTTCAATAGTCAGGGTCCATATAAAGTTGTTGATAGATGAACGCGGCGTCGATCGTCGCGGAATCTTTACCAGCTAGTGGCTGTTTACGAATCTATGGTCTATCGCTACTGAAAGCTACTATAAAGGATTTGAGCAAGCTTTTGGAAGCAGGATAATAAAAGGAAGATGGCGCTGAGCGTCAGGACAAAATAATCCTGAACGTCAGGACAAAATAATCAAACGCTTGTTCAGAGGTTGAACGATGCCATTTGCGTCGATTGCTAGCTATTTGTCGGGCTTTTACTTTACAAGTATTTTTGATAATGCACAAATGAACAGAACAGTATTCGAGCTTGTTATAACTTTGAATCGTTCATATTTTTCGGATAAACTTATTATACACGAAATGGAGCTAGTAACTATCCATTTGCTAAGATTTCTTATAGCTTCAGTATCAAACTAGCTAACCATACATGATACCTGATAAAGATAGGGTGCTTGATAATAGTGACCTTCATAGAAAACTGAAGCAGCGTAACCTCTTATAAAATATACAGGATTTGTTATTTTATAAAATGGGAAGATCATTTCAACGATGAAAGCCTAGACTTTAGGAAATAAAAGAGTCCTATCAAAATTCAGTGATCGATTGTAACAAACTCATCAATCGTAGTTATGCATTATACTATAGTATGACCTCGATAAGCACACTTGTGTCAAATTTTGTATGTGCTACGTTTTAGGTCAAATGCTTTACCACTTAATTCACCGGCTTACCATACGAAAACATACATGCACACGTTCACAAAGAAGCGAGCCGTTTATATAAAGTTGTATAAGTTACTTTATTAATCAACAAACTTATTGTCTGCCGTCGTTGATAGCATCAAGATACATACACGCACATTGTATCTCTAAGGTTTCCTAACTCACATTCACCATTTCATCAAATGTGCCTCTATTTTTACGGAACTCGCATTTTGTCATTCGCCGTAAGTCCGTCAGCGTGTCTTCTGCTTGTTTGTCCGTACACATCGTTTCTTTTAAGCGTTTGAGCTCGCTTAAATTTCTTTGCTCTCCCAAACCTTCAAGCTTGGAATGGTTAGCCATCGTTCACAGCCTATTTGGCATCTTATCCCGGCTTGTCCTTGCACTGAGTACGACGCAGTTTTGTATTTCATCAATTAGTGCGTTTTGTTACGCGCACATCTTTTGTGTATGTGGTTTATATGTATCGATCCATATATACAATGGCCAGCCATTCTTCTATGTAAGATTACTTAGAGTTGTATTATTTATGTTTTAAATAATTATTGCCATACGAACGAATTACTGTCATCGTGATCAGTATGATGGAGGTTCCGACGGATAGTAACTGTATATGGTCTGTTCCACCACTTTCGGTTATTTATTTTTGCTTCGTACACGTCTCTTTGTCATCTATGTTCACTATGTGCTACTAACATAATCCTCTTAGCTTACTTTTCAGCAGCCCTTACCAGCCGAGCACTGGATGACTCAGAACTTACCATACGTCTAAATAATAACACTTCAAAGTATGTTTTTCTTTTTTTTTTTTCTTTATAATTAGTTTTAGACGTTTCATTGTACTATAAAAATATTCATCCAAACCTTGCTGTCTGCATGATCTCCATCCATCAATACCATTATTAGTTAGATGTGATTCCACGTGCAGCAGATGCATCTCTCATCGACACACGTGATCGCCGAGATACAAAAAATATGAATACCATGACAACATGTTCCTAATAAACTTCCTGATAGAAAGGTAAAAGCATAATAAAGGCCTTCTTTTTACTCTAATAAAAACTAGAACTCTCTTCCACTCACTTTCAGAAAGACAATTACGCTCACCACTTAAATGTAGCATTACTTAAACGAGGACATTAAGCATCGTCGAGTCGGCCTACTCATTACATTCTCCAATGAAAGAGGCTATCAACCTGGTATTCCACTGAAATTTCCTTAAGGTCCATTAATTTATTTCTCTGCGCAACGACCTCACACAATTACTGTGTAGGCAGTTTTTCTAATCGTGTCCTCTGCAGATTGCACATGCGTACGAATGGGTCGTTACGATTCTAGAGTTGCTATTAACTCCCGTAGAACCCTCTATTTTTGTAATTTTTATGCAGTCCTACATAGTTCTATTACGCGTCTTCTTTACGCATCATATAGTACATATGTCAATACATAATCTGCGTATATATGCACATTGTAAACAGCTGCGTCAGCTAATTTGTGTGATAGTTTTTGCTAAGGGCCATTTGCAATGAATGTTTATCGAATCTATAGCGTTCTATTTCTATTTATTCCACAGTTAAATGTTGATTTACAAACAGTATGTAGCAGTCTTTCTTCTGCATCCTAGGTTTCAAGGAACTGCGTGTAGAAAACTCGACTGCATTCCTGCTTCATATTTAGTGCGAACTTGTGGTACGAGCCGTCTGAGCAGATGGCGATCACTGAATTTCCATCGCCACCAAACGCGCAAATACAGTGTGAACCATCAGGAACCTGCAAATGGAAGACGACGCGTGTAAAAGGTACATGACAGAAGAAGAAAGTTAATGAAATTTTGAACTTCGCTGTCCAATTTTTAATAGATCATCGCAGATTATTAGGAATGAGATCAGTAACTTGGTGTGCAACAAATACAATCCACGTACATCCTGCAAGGAAACGTTAACTATATACCTCAACTTCTTGACCTTTTCCTTGCGAATTTCGTTATCGAAATAATCGTTCGTGTCAAAATTCGTTAAGAATATGTCGTTTCGTTTTGTTTCAGTACGAAGGCTCCCAATAGGCTCGTTTTAGTCAAATCAAATATTAGGTTACTTTTTTTTATTCTTCTTTACTTGAATGAGCACCTCTGTCCCTGTGTTCTGCAAGCGATCCTCAACTCGCATAACTTGAATCGATTGCCGTTTCACAGTTCAAGTCGTTGATCCAAGAAAACTTCTTTACATTATCCCACAAACAAAAGCGCTACTAAAACTACCGTTAGTGCAGGATACCATAATGGGGTCTCGTACACCTATGGGCGGACCGTGCAGTGTTCACACAGGCTAACGCATGCCTTCATAGCAATTTTATACTGGTGCTATATAATACTATAATTTCAAACGGCTGCATGTGCGATTTTTTCGACGAAATTAGAAGTTTACGATAATTGTACATTCGAATAGTTTTAAATTACATTAAAGCTTTAATTGTCGGCAATATAACCGTACGTTGGGTTTTGTGACTGTACGCGCGTTTTTAAGCCCACTGATTAAGATCGTAGCTAAGACTATTTAGCGTTTGAAATAGTTCGAAGTTCGCGGCTTTGTTATTTGGTTGATGTACTTCTCATAAGCCATGGCGCCTATCTCCAACTGCACAAATAAAGGTGTAATCCATTTCAACTCATTGCCAAGGAATACAGCAAGATTTACGATGCCCGTAAACGCATATGTATACCTTAAAGTCGCGTTTCTTACTTCAACGAAAAAATGTGATTTCTCAAAAAGTTCAATATATCCAAGTGAATAATTTTCATCCAAGTTTTGACGCGAAGCATAAAGAGTAACAACTCATGTTTCTAAAAGCGCTCTTTCGTTAAATATCAACTTCAATTGTGGTCTCAAACTTCAGCTATTCAACGTAAGTTGAATTCCATATGACAAACTATTTTTTGCAACTACTTTCCTATTACTGATTTGTCTGATAAGATGCATAGATCGCTACGTATAGCGACTCACAACTCAAACTCCCCCTGAATTCTATGGCGAGCTTATATCAACATAGACCATGTCTAACAGCAGATTCCCTAAACAGCCAACCACCTTTCTCTAAGTGAACACGCTTTGGCATCTTTACGATATTCGCGTGAGAACAGCTATGCTGAGTGCTAGCACGTGCCCACGTTGACCTACGATTCTATTGAAAAATTAAAATTAAATGGGATAACTAGATTTCGTATAAATCATCACTCAATAGACGCTCAAGTTAAAAAAATGAAGCTACGTTTATTATCTAATATTATGATGCTTCTCTGTATAAGGGTGCAGGAATGCGGGATAAAGTAAAACAAACTGTACTGTCATCCATGCTTTGCAATTCCTGACAAATAATGTTCCGTCCTAAATGGCCTATGAGAGGTTTCATGAAAATTAAACATACGAAAGTTATCACACAAAGGAACTTTTACTGAAATATAATAGAAATTTGTATTTTTGTTGTTAGTCTTACATCAGAACTGAATATCGAGAGGTCCTCCTGTATATCGTATTAGACGACGGTCTGAATTATACTATTATGATGCTTGAAATAATTTCTCAAGGGGTATGATCCTTAAAAACATGAGTTGTGTGAGATAATACAAGGTTATAATCCGATCTAATGAGCGAGTATGTGGTGCAAATTGTTTTGTTGAAGTGTTTTTACTATGACTTTCAACCTGAAGGCCCAGGCTATCAGCAAGGCAAATAAACCTAAAAGCAGGAGAAAGAAGTTGCTTTGTTCACAGCATTGAACGAGCTGGCCAGTATAGTGACCTCACGCAACTAAATGATTACTAGCTTCATCATGTATATTGCAGCTAAATATCCACTGCCTGATATCTGATCTATCGTTTCTAGCAATTTAATTTTCAACTTAGTACCTAACTAAAAAAGGAAGAGTCATGCTGGGTCTAGACTCGATCTGGTCAATTATCAATGCGAATACTACCGTAACGCCATCACTTCCGAGAAATTAATTTTCATCATGCAAGTGTTACCTGGAGGAAGAGCGACCGGGAGACCAACAATCTATGATGATTTTTAGCGATCGCTTCAAAAATGATAACTTAATCGAGTAAATCCTCGCGGCTAAGAGAAAATTCCAAGTGGCAACGCCATAGACAATGCTAGATCTCACATAGAATGGACGAAAGAAGTCGAGCCATCAAGAGCGGGGCAAGCGGACGCACGTTCTGTTGGCCGCCCACAATAGAATTTGGCTTGCCACAGTGATTTCGACTTACAGAACTAATAGGATCTGTGCGCTATAAGCTATTCTTATTTTATCGTACATGAAGCATGGGTCCATCGCTAATAGTGAGCAAGCATCGAAAATCAAAAGGAATTCATAGATTAATTTTTTTTTCAATTTGCAACACAACGGGTACTTTGTTGTTAAGGGTCTGTCGTTAGGACATTTTACACTATGCCATTAACAATTATTTTGTCCCACATTATGTCATTGCTTTGTACGCGGCTCTCTATTGAGACGTTCATCGTTCATTAAGCGTACACTATTGCAGATGGTACAACTCTGGAAAGAAGAACAACTAGACAATAAATAATAATACAGATACTTGTAATAGGTGGCACTAAAACCATTTATAGCAGGTTTGTATGTATGTCAGTTACTCAAAGATTTTCGAAGGGATACCAAATGTGACATTTTGTCCTTCTATACACCATAGGATGCTCTAAATTGTAGAATCTTTTAATATCAAGGCACAGCAGTATAAATAGCTGTTAACAGCCTTATCATGATTCTGATGCATTTTTTATTATAATCATTTTAACTGTATTATAATTATATTTTGTTAGGTCTAAACCTTCATTGGGAGTTCACCCAAAACAAGGGCCTACTTATTTTCATCGATTCGCATAATACTTACTAATGATAACTTCGACTACGTTTGAGATGAACTCGTTATACGAAGGATATTTCTATTAATAAATATATTTCAGAGGTGGCCATTGATATATGAATTGTTGATTTTGCATTAGTTGAATTACAGCAGACATCTGACTTACTTGGACAAGTAGTTTGTTGACTCTAGGAGGATAGGTACGATTATTTACGATACTCAATGACAAGTACGAGGTATTTTTCAACAGAAAGGGGTATTCTATACTTTTGTTTTAAATAAGTGTTCCATATTGAAAACCTATCTATGTGAAACCATTGCATAATGAGGAGTGACTCGTGATTAATTACAGAGCCAACATTACAACCCAAAGAAACTTCCTAAACAAAATGTTTTTATCCTCGATCGTACAATAGGCACACAATATATGAGTCCTTTCTGTTTTTATCCCAGAGAAGTGCCTCTGTAGAGGCGTGACACAATGCCGTGATACATAAGTATCCTACTCTGAATCTCAATGCAATACGTTTAGCTCTAAATCAGCCATAATCCATTCCATCTGCTCAGGAACACGTTGACGGCAAGTGAAGAACAGCTAGAAGTACACATGAGGTAAGTCGTAATTCAAAAAGGTAAAGTTAGAAAGACATGCTCAGACATATCAGTCACTTTTTTTTACCACAGTAATATTTCCATAGAATGGGAAGTGACTCGCGGAACATGTAAATACATGTAAAAAATCTCGAAACTAAATAGAGCTTCATGAAGATATAATAAAATTGAAGTGAATGAACGAAGCCAACCAGGCATTTGCATATGCTTTCACTTACTATTGCTATTAAATGGAAAAAAATAACAGTGTGTAGCTATAATGTCGCTGAGTAGTTAGATATATCGATACGGAATAATCATACAAACGATTCGGGGATACGGCGAAACGAAATAGCAAAAAAAAATTTAAATCGAAAAAAAGACATTGCTGATGACATCATTTAGAATTATCCGATCTTTATTTAGCCGCGGCAGGTGCATTGCTGCCTTTACACTCGATAAATTACTGTAACGTGGGTGTCGCATAAAGTGTAAATTCATAAATAGTAAGATAACCTGCATATGAAAGTCTGCCCCATGGAAACTATGTCCCACCTGAAGCACGATAATGCCTGTTCTGTTATAATGCTCCAAAGAGAAAACAGGTGGTTCCAGAAACCTATTCAGCTTTACCCAGAGAATGCTTCAGTAGACCCAAGTACTGATGAATTAAACCCTATAACGACTCCATCGGACATACGGACCCAGAGATCGAAAGTGATTACAATGATAGCCAGGAAATATAATTCCATAACGACCAGTGATCGCAACGGTGGTTTTGGTTAGCTGACATTCTATAATTTTACCAGTTTTTATTACGAAACGACGATGAAACAAGAACTGGAACCAACCAAGTAGAAGTTTTCAGTACCTTGCGTACGAAACGATAACAGCATAGCTTAAGGTTTATCTTAGAGACACAAATGTGGCATTTAAGAATAGAAATGTAGATAAAATATTTAGCATTTTCTCAGACTGTACTAGCAGTTTCGGGTGCCTCGTTAGAGGGAAAGGCCTCCAATATTTACCGATTTTAGCTGTATAGAGCACGATATTTAGGCATTCGTGCTTTCATTGTTTTATATCCGCCGCTGAAGTTGTTAAAGATTAATTTAGATAATTGGTTCCTGCCAGCAACAAACGAAGCGTATGTACCTTTCCTCCTCTCCCCCGCGAAATTCGAACTTTAATAACCACGTGTCCATAAGTTTAGCAAGCAAACACGATACCCACCGCTTTAATTACGGGGGCTTGACATGTATGTATTGCTAATATACCGGTTAGACGAGTGTCTAGTGTGCTCTAGTTATACAAATAACTGTACAGAATAACGTAGTGAAAGTACTTTATTTTAAGTCATGGTAGCCTATTTAACTTGTCCGCCACAGCGAATCGAAATCATTAACCGTATGTTTGAGCATATGTGGACTACAAATCGCTTAAGAGAATTAATGTTAGTTCTAATACGTAATTTGAAGCAGGTTTTCGATAGTTTTAGCTTCGCTTTTAAGGTAGGGTAAGTTGACGACTAAAACGGTTTATCTAAAAAGTTCCTCACCGCCATCACGTTTACGCACAGATTTTAGATGCATTATGTGCAGAACCTACGTCTTCGCGTAACAGGTCTTCGCGTATCTGTAATACGGAAGCCTTGAGGTCCACGTACAATCTTCATGCTACCCCGGATTTCTTGTTCATCTACCCGTCGGTGCATACAGCCTGCGATTTCTGGTTTTGCTCTATACATCTCATAACTGCTAGACCTAATTGATTAAATCGACCAGTCAGTGATTTTATGCTCTTCATGCACTTAAGTATAGACAACATAATGACAGAGGCGTAACTAGATTAGTTACGTTATATTATGCAAATGTGCCCCTAAAATGGTTCCAAATCATGCTGCCCACAGAATTTGTACGTGTCACTGGCGTGGCGTTCAGTTTTGCATGTCAACACGTACCTGAAATTTCGCATCACTCCATTTCGAATTGAAATACTTCGGTAAAACGGCCGAAGTTAGCGACGACTTGCTATTCTTCCGCTGTTGGTCAGGCGAGTCTAACGAAAAGATGTGCACGGTACCGTGATCACTCGATACACAAAGCATTGTCGAATTGAAATTGAAATTAATGCAGTAGATTGTAGCATGATTGGCTCCACGACGCAGCTCATGCAGTAGCTGGCTAGTTTGAGTGTCAAATACCCGAATAAGCGTGCCCTTTTCCGAGGCCGATGCAAGCAGCGTCCCTTGAGTATTAAGCGCTATACAGCTCAGTGGCGAATCATGCGCTTGCAAATCGACAGCCGACCGGTCCGTTTCAGCCAAATTGATTAACTGTAGCTGGCCTTGCTTTCGGCCGGGAAAAGCCAAAAGTGAGTTTGATGACGAAGGACAGAGCACGCATAGGCCCCGCTCGTTTGGACACGTCTCGAACACATGAATCTGCTGGGGACTTTGTGTAAATGTATAGACCTTAATCACGGTGTCAAGCACAACGACAATCCGATCTCGGCGAAGTCGTACGCTTCGCACGGTCGTCTGAAAGGCTAACTCGATGACGGGCTGTTTTCTTTCGTCATCCCATATGATGACTTTATGGGCCGGGTAACGAGGCCGCTGGCCACCGCCGACCAGTGCCAGATAGTTGCATCGGAACAGCATTTCAACGTGGCCAATACCGCCACCATCGGTATAATCCTGACTTTGTTTCTTGTCTAATGGGTCGCTGTTATACACACGAAATCCGGTTTCCGTGCCACAAGCGAAACATCCCTGATCCTGGTTAAACCCGACGTACAATAGGCCGTTCCGATTATCTGGACCCGTTGCAGGCTCTGGCGAGCCTCCCCAATTCATTTTGTCTCCTTTAATTATTTATAACTTTCAAGCTGATACTCACTTCACTTTTCCGTGAGAATGTTCGCCAGGTGCGAGACGATTAGCTCTCTCAGATGGCAATACACAGTTAATCGCACTCGAAAAACAACCGGCTGCCACACGGAAACTGTTATAAATCGTTTCGAATCATCGCTGGTTCAGCCACTAACCTTAGCAGCACTACGACGATAAACCACTGTTACTGTCGTTGTTAGAGGCGGCCAATCGGAATATACCTCATCCACACGCGATAAGACCATGAATCCCTATCATTTTCACAATGCAAAAGTATGCATAGAACAGGCGCACACACTTGCGTGCAACTGTATTGCTGTTATTGTGTCTGTTTAGTTTTATCAAGAGATTAATACCCGACCTTTAGTACCTCTATCCAGAACGTACTTCTTTCTTTTGTTACTATGTCTCTTTCTATTCGTTCTTGCAAAATAGGCGGCGCCCTCGTTGAAGGCAAACAACGGCGATGTATTGATGCGACACGATGCAATGAATAGGCGCAATAAATGATCTCGTACAGAGGCAGGCACTACGAAGCTCGCTTATGCGGGTTCTGGTGGTGCGACGAGATACTGCTGTGATGGCACAACAACGACCAATGCAGCAGTACAGAAAAACAATAAAACAACGACGGCGACGACTACAAGCAAACAGTCCTTCACCGGGACAGAAGTAGTTGTGAGAGTCTTCAGTTTCTATGATAATAATCCGTAGTTTGAGGGTCTAATAGCGAGTCGAGCCATAACAATTGCACACGCCCTTTGTTTTGACAAGCCAGGATAACAGTTTGCTTGCAAATAGCCGTGCAGGCCTGCAAGAGCACCGCAGTTTAGCTACTAGCGTTTAGCAAAAAGCGTTAGCGACGATGAACATCGGACATCGAAAAAGATCGAAGAACTTACGTACGACGACCAGAGTTCGACCTGACAGCAGCAACAACAACAATGACAACAACAACAAAGTTCTTTATTTTGTCTTACTGCTTGTACAACACACTAAATGTTACTAAAGTAACAACGGCATGAGGTGTCTGTTCGCTACCTGCCAAGCAATAAGAATAACATGGAGGAAAACAGCTTCACAGTTTGTCTTAACGAACACTTTTCAGGTGTAAAGCACGAATACAAACGCAGGGGCCAACCAGCAAATTGTCTGCTGATCGTCAGTAGAAAGCAATCGAGGTAACACGTCGTCCTCGCCGCTGCCGGTGTATCGACCACGGTAAAATCCTTACCGTATCGAACAACCCTACGGTATCGCAATGGTTCTTGATAGTTACGACGATGAAGGTGGTGGACTATCCAGTTGGAGTAGCACGGGTTAACTGAGCTCTAGGGCAACGGCAGAAGTTGCTGTAGCTTTCACGAAATGAACGTCAGTAGGATACACGCAAGCAGGAAGCACGCAGACATTAAGGGTTTCGGGTGGGTGGCCTCAATAGCGGACCCGCTCTAGACGGGGTTGCCTATTCTTCCGCACTTCTGTAGTAGACCAAAGTCGCGGCGGGCTTCTGTTCCCGATTCGAGCTTAGCCCTTAGCCTAGCTTGTTCCGTCTAAGCCTGCAGCCCGCGTACGCGAACTTTTAATGCTAAAAGGCAACAACAACTACCTACCAATAATCATTAGACGAGACATACTAATACGGTGAACACACTTTGCTATCATGGTTCACTTCGGTAACAATCGTTAGAATCGGGCAAAATCACACGGCCGCCAACAGTAAACACGTTGCAGAAAAGCACTGACGGCGCTGGCAACTGTGAACCAACCGTCCACGACGACGACAGAAACAACGTGAACCTCAGCTATTTGTACGCTTCAAGCACCAGCTGCGACAGTAGCAGCTCACAGTGAGCCGAAGGCAGAGGCTGGGAGGGCCGGGCAACGTTGACATGGCAGCGGCGATTGCCAAGCTGCGCGGGCCACTGCTACAAGCAGACGAGAAAACAATTAACACCTATATGGAGGCATGGTATGGGTCTTGAAAACTAAGCAACGATTAGATGGACCACATATAGAGATCGAGATGACATTATGAAGAACAACAGAAGCGGCCACGATACGTCAGTGAACCGACGACTAAAAGTTAAGACACTAGTGTTATGGCTAAATGATGCAAGGGGCAACAACGTGAACGTATAGCAAATGTCTTGACTAGATGGCACATAGAGATCATTCCACTCGAGACTAGATACAGAATTTGAAGTTTACAGTTTCTAGTAAAGAAGACCATCATACTGACATTCGCTTCCCTACAAGGAATAGAATAGATGAGCTATCGAACTACCTTATTAGCTATTAAAATTCCATAGGTAGTTCCTTGCGGAATCTGTTTCGCCAATTTGAGTAGCCACTTTCACAAGCTGTTCACTCGTCAGCTGGTCGCTATACGCGAGCCTACGCCGAAAGTACCAGCGAAAACTCGTTTGTGGTTGAGCTCCGACTATCAACAATCTACCCAAGCTAATCACATGTTCACGATACACAAGGACTTCTAATCAGAAGAGGACGCCTGGAGTGAAAACAGAACATATTTTTGGAATACACGTTTTCATGTATACAACACTATTAATCCCGTATACAGATTAAAATCAAATACGCGCTCATAATCAAAAGTAGTCGTAGCTCATCCCTGCGCTCCATATTTATAATGTACAGTGAGTGTTCATAAGCGTGCGTGTTGCTTATATTGGTTTGTAGACGGGACCGAAACGGTTGATGCGTATAAGAGTGAGAGACATACAAAGCTTCTTAAACAAAACAAAGTAAGTTTTTAAGCCTTTTAAATCAAAGTTAATACAAAGATGTCAAAATAGTGTATGATTCATAAATTTGAATGATAGTCGTCTACAACGAAGATTTTTGCGGTAGCTATTTCGCTAGTCAATTAAACGAAGAACCTACAAGAATACTTAGACAAAAATAGAAACGACAATAAATGGGGATTATGATCGATGTTAAACACAAAAAAAAAGGATTGTTGTAAAGTGTAAATCAATCCAGTTTGTTTTTTCTTCCTGGCATTATTATGTTGTTAGTGCCTTCAATGTCCGAGAACAACTTAGTTCCACTTTTATACAATTGTCCAATATGGGTAAATTTGGCTTGAGAAACAACATTGAAGCTCTTTCTTAGTGGATTAACCAGCCATCGTTGAATGTAAAATACAGCAATATAGTTTGAAAAGCTATTGATCTTTGCGCCTTGAAGCGCACGTTGATCGCATTTGCGTTTCTCATTCTTTACTGAACATAAATATGACCAAGTGAACCAATCAATTAAATTGTGTCATCGATCGATCTGTGTGTGTTAAACGTTTTTGTCCGCTTATTATAAAAGCCAGCTGAACGTTAGTTAGTGAAAATGTTGAAAATTTAGGTATATCTACGGTGGTCACACGAAGCAAGGAATACTCGTAGACGTACTGAACGGTCTATCTACCAGACTAACTATATTTGGCCAGCTTAAAAGCAGAACGGACTTCTTTGCATAACAATGACCTATATGCGCGGAACTGTTCATGTTCGATACACATGTTATAATCAATTGCTTTCATTTATCTCCGAGAGCCCCTTATTTGCCCAGCAGCATTATGAATACGAGGACTTTGCTTAAAGATGCCCGCCAGTGCCTAGAATCAGCCGACTACGAGCGTAGCATCGAACTTTGCGAAGCAATCTTGAAGCAAGAGACCGATCACTATACCGCACTGCTCCTCCTTGGTGCCGCAGCGACCGCATCAGCTAATTCGGGTGTGTCATATCTCCTAATCAATCTGTTTCGTAACCGATTTATTTAACAGTGACATTTTCTTGATAAAACTATATTGTAATTTACATTACCTTGTAATAGAACATAGATCAAACGAATGGTTATTTATATAATTATTGTAGAAAGAGGCAGCGCTGATTTAAACTGATTGAAGAGTATAAACTTTAAAGTTACAGGTACAGAAAGCAATTGTCTAAGACGCATTCCTAGGTACGCTGAGCCTACCGGACATAATCGTCTATCTGATATCGATCTACGCACTGTTGTCTTAACAGCGCACAAAGCTGCTGCTGTTTAAGTAGTAAATTTTTGGCTGAAATCATAATTGGTATTCCGTAGTTGAAGCATTTTCTCTATCAAATTTTTACCCAAGCATGTTGCAAGAGCTGGTAACCTTACAATAAGGTTACTGTCATCGATTGGAATTCATGGCATTACTGTCAGTAGGTATTTGTAGATAAGGACATAGGCATATGATTCAGATACACAAGGACAAAACTGATCGAAACTAGGTAGTTGTTAAGTTTTGGCCTTAGAGGTTGATGAAATGTCGAATTCTAGATGTTGCAAACATAGCACAAGTTGTGTATCATGGTATTGCCTTAATTTATTGAACTATTAACCCAAAAGCGGTGTCATATTTTGAAATGTCATTTTTCCTGCATCACCTCTGTCCATCTATAAATCATTTACATTTGATGCCCATTTGACAGTTCGTTTGTAATGCTCGTAGTGTTCATTACTAGAGATCATTCAATAATCGCTCGCATTTAAATATTCAACCATTTTTTATACATTTGTAAAAGCAGGGTAAACCTCGTCTATATATATACACGGCCATCTGGTCAAGAGTGCTGCATTGAAATAAATCTTTCATACTACAGGTTTTACACGCTTAAGGTTTTACTTAAACACAAAATTTGTAAGGTATACTTTTTTCGACTTACTCTCTCCATGGCGTTTTTCACTTCGCTCAATCCACGATATTAAATCCTTTAAAAAAAAAGTCAGTGATTTTCGCGGCCTACATGCCCCATCAAATAGTTAGTTTTTTTCGAATGTAAACGCTTTTCGTGAATAGCCTGGATTTACGACAATCCGCGCTCGTTAAGCAAGCCTAAAAAACATTCGTCAAAAATATGGCTAAATGTATGCAAAAAATCGTCACGATAAAAGCCAACGGAGTCCGTCTTCTCTATATTGCATCCAAGTAAAATCTTAAACGTATATAGTGAGTAATAAATAAGATTTATGTAGGCAGAATTGTTTTTTATTGACGTCATTTTGAACTTGCTTCCGAGTCGCTGATCGGACACTGATAGTATATATATCGACTAGCCACTGAAGTTTTTATACCAGCTATATATACTAGCTGCAATTTATTGTTTGAGCTTAGCGACCTTAACAATATATCTCTACAATTTCTTTTGCATTCTAAAACTTTGACCATGGTAATTATTGTTATTATATATATATATATATAGATATGTCTTATATGTTATATTATGTTATAATATATATATATAATGTTTATGATAGTACAGCAATAATAAGAAAAAAATTAATTGCATCAAAATTATCTTACAAAACCTCTTATTATATTCACATCTTATGCCATCAATTTCAAGCATCTACAGTCTTGCAGACAGCTCCTACACCGCCTGGAGTCTCAACTTCATTATATTTACACTCATAATTATATCGATTTAATGATATATGGGAACATTCGTAAAATATTTATTTATTAACATGAAATACTTACGTTAGGTTATCCTAGACGAATGTAAATCGTAGTTTAAAACTAGACGAGACCATCGTGCGCCTACATTGTCCTATATCAACGATTTGCTGATAAATATCGAACATATTTTTTTGTTATTGGCTACAGTCGTTCCTATTCTCTTGCCGCGTTACCTTCGTACATTTATTCTATGATCCTGTTCTAGCTATTGGCTACGTCTAATCTGAGCTGCAGCTGGTTAAGGATTACTTCGTTACGGTGATCCGTGGCCTTTCTACTGGTATATGCTTAACACCTTTCTATCTCAATTAGGTCGTTCCTTGGTGTCGTTCCACGCAATTAATACTATGACGCATGCGGTCTGTTGTGAAAGAAAACACGTATAGAAATACCTATAAATAGATAAAAATAAACAAAGAAGAAAATACATATACTTCCAAATTTCCGTAAAGGATATTTCAAACCTAATAACTTCTGCACGACTAGCATTGTCGAATCAAGTCTCAATTTTTTTGTCTGCGTCATTCTTTGTGCAGATCATGCTGCGAAAGCACTCAAAGCACTGGTGCGTGCCACAGAGATTAAAAAGGACCAGAAGGCGCCTTGGCAAGGTCTGCTCAGACTTTTAAGAAAACACCCGGAACTGGACAGGCCCTTTTACCGAAAGGTCCTTCAAAGGGTTATTGACACCACCATGGATGAGAAGATCTGCAGACTTCTCTACGTTGAAATGGCCGAACTCGACGCTGATTGGAAACTTCTTGGTACGAAGCTGCAAACAAATAAGTAGAATTTACACAAATAATGGAAAGAAATATAAATACATGTACAAAAAATATAGGACGAAAAAGGAAGATATAACACGTGTAGGTAGGCTTTGAAGATGATACTTAACTTTCTGGTTACCGAACGTGTCATAAGTGTCTGTTCTTGGTAGTTTACGTATGTATCAAATTAATAAGAAAACGATACGTTACTATTCTCGACAGTTTAACGAAGCCGATCGTACTTTCATGCTGCTTCTGTTGCTCTCTTAATTGTATACTCAGATACATAGTGGTAAACGCATTGTACCCAGAAAGGTAATAGTACAAATGCCTTTTTTGTAGATAAAAGCTTTACTGCGGGCGTTGAAGCCGAGGATATGTCAGTTGTCAATCGGATCGCTCAAGTGGCTTTGGATCTTTTTGACAGACGACAATGTGTTCCGGACAATATTGAACTGCTTCGGAAACTAACGAAGATAAAAACTCTCAATCCAGACGTGCAGGTAACAATTATCTCCACGATATTATTATAAAATTAGCATTTACAAGCGAGCGATAGGGTACTGCATAAAAGAAGTTTTTCTATAACCGTTTCGCGCAGTTTAAACCTGGTACATGTTAGATGTAAAATAATCAGATTAACATATAAATTTTGATATCATTTTTTAGATTATGCGTATTATATAGCCGGTTCAATCTATAAAAAGGAGCTGGTTGAAGCATAAAAAGTCTACTTTTGGTGATCAATACAATTGTCTTTGATCTGGCAGTGCAATTTAGCGTTTGTGTATTATATATTCGTTTCAACATGTTGAACTTAATAGCACTGCATCACCCGAACACCTGTTATAACTCAGATCCTCCGTTTTATCGTTAGCACTTACGCCGTATATAAGGCTAATTACAGACGAAGAATATTTAGCAAACAGAGCATCGAAGACCCGAAAATGTTTCAAAGCAAAAATTTTGGAATAATTTAGAGAATTAACAGGTAATTTGAGGTAACTAATTATCTAATTATACCTAATTTTAAAATTACCTAATTTACCTAATCATAAAAAATCGAGTATTGATGCAAGTCCAATAATCTTAACGGATTACACGGTATCATTAAGATAAGATGTATTCGTTTTACCTATTAATATATTAAATTGAAGCGCTTAAAATGATCACTGTCATATATATCTAATGCAAACTTGCGTGTCTACTAGTGAAATAGTTACCTTTAGTGCTTTAAATTTTCAGATCATACTTATGTATGGAACTGGAAGAAAAGTCAGGTAACGAATTAACCAGAGTTATTAATAAATTAATCAGAAATAGATGCCTGATCTCATATTCCGGCCCGTGTCACAAACGATGAATAATAAAGTAAAGAGTATATACTATATGCACTTGGTCACAGATAAGAAAAGCACACTGAACTAAAATGAAATTTTATGATCTTTTGTTTGGGATATATTTGTGGATGATTATAGGTACCGTTGATTTTGAGGTACATGTTTCTACTCCCGGCTACGGAAATTGAGCCGGAATTTTCAACGATTTCGTCAGGACTGTCGACTGACATTGTTGATAAGCTGGCAGTAGAAATTTTTGTGGAACGAGAATTGGCTGTTATTCAGCCTCAAAGAATTCATAAAGCATTGCAGGCACATCCCAAGAAGGAACTTCCCAAGTACATCATTAGCAAGGTGTGTTTGCGTATGACTAAGTTGACTCTTTAGTAAGTTTGTAGTGGCACGGCGTTCACTTGAGCAGAAAGTTTTTTTCAAGCCAGACGTATTTGGCAAATTTGTCTACAAACATAACTATTGTGGCAGATGTTTGAGCTAACGCGTAGCATGCTTGGTGAAGAGTGTTGAATTTTTTTCGTAAGATTATTAGCCTATTGCGGTTTTACTTCATTTTCACCAGGCAAAACTGTGTTTAATTGCTAACGATATCTCTGGTCTCGAAGAAGCTTGCCATGTCCTTCTCGATTTAGACGCGTCAAACTATGACGCCTGGAAATTACGGCTTGAGGGTCTTATGCGAACACGCCAGTTTCGCGATGTCGAAACAACAGCAAAAGAGGCTATTCGAGTTTGCAACAAGGAGCATGTCGGCTGTACGTATCACTCATGTGTACGATGTTATCTGCAGGAATATATTGCGTAACATTTACTTAGGTCCAGTTGAGGCTCAAATTCGTTTCGGGTTTTTTTTTCAATTTCTGTAGATCTCCTAATTTATATAGCACGTGCGCTACACGGACAGTGTCGGTATCGCGAGACGTTGACAGTTCTTGACCGAGCAGAGAAGGTTGGAGGAAAAGCTCGCGCAGCTCTGCGAATTCAATGCCTTCTTGAAACCGGGAAGGTTCGAGAGGCCTTAGATTTATCGGTAGCTTCCGGTGAACAGGGATGGGCACTTCAAGCCCGAATGGAGCTTGGAGAAGAGCTGAATTTAGACAATTCCGAACTTAATGCATATGGAATGACAACTGCTATTCGATATCTAATGGTGAGTAAATATTGATTATAGGAATAAGACCGTTAAATTGTTTATCAGTCACAAAGGAACTCAAATTTTACGTTCAAAGCAAAGGCGCAGGAGATTTTTTTGGAAAAAAACATTAAGAAATTAGTCCGCATAGGATTGTCTCTAAGCAGAGAAATTTACAGTCGATTTGAAAGTCTAACTTTATTATGTGCGGTGTTCTTTGCGATATGACTTTGTTGGGCAATAAGACTGTTTTCAAGAGCTGACAGTTTCCTCAGGCAGAAGTAATTTTTTATACGCTTGGGTTGCTTTGGAAGGCTGCGAGACTGAGTTTGCCTCGGTAATTCGATGAAGTAATTTATAATAATGTAATAAACTACATAAAGGGATGCAAGAGTTTTTCGTTGCTATTTACGTCGCCTAAATGTATCTTTCTTACTGCATTCCTAACAACAGTTATCCCACATTTGTCTCCTTGATTACGTAGCCTATGGCAGTTCAAAATGGAATGTGAGTGTAACTTCATTTATTTCTTACTTATATGGTTATTCTGGATCCCGATAGTATAAAATGAGGCACAACGATGCCTTGAAAGTTGCCACGGCCGCCATCAGTCGAGATGGCCAGAATACGGAGCTAATGACTCTGCTTGGCGAAGCCTACTTGGCGTTGGGGCATCCAGTTCAGGCTGTAAAATGCTTACAACAAAGCTTTCTTGCGAACCAGTATGATGATCGGACGGGAAAGTTGTTTAGTAGAACACTTCGATTACTTGGAATTCACGACCAGAATCTTTGTCTTCTTGAGTCAGGTGAGTTGCTCCCCTATGTTTATCGGGTTAGCGTTATTTTGCTACGAGGCTTTTGCTGGAAATAAACAATCAATAGTCAATTTAAACTGTATTGAAATAATAATTAAAACAATAATATATTAATAATACAGATGACAGAGGACTGATGTGCTTGAATATCGGTTCACTTCTGTAACATGTGCTCGTCACTTTACTTAAGTTTTTTTCATGACTTGGTTCCTATTCTAGCCAGCCGAAACTTGTTACACAGTTGTCTGTCTAATGCTGCTGTAGACAACGCCTTTTTTTAGCATACACGACTAATCTATGACTATGACGTATTCCTTATATCGGCCAGTAAAGCACGATTTTTCTTATTGCGTTCATATGGCATAACTGCGTTCAACGTTATGACATTTACAGTTACGAAGGATGGCACGATACACGATGGCAACTGTTGGGCATTTGCAGAGTTGGGTTTGTATCATTTGGAGCACGGAGAACCGGTCAATGCCGTAGGTCCCCTTCAGAAGGCTATTAACTTGAAACCGTGTTCATTAGTGTTCGAACTACTCGCAGAAGCATACGCGGCACGAAAAAGTTTTGCAGCAGCGGTCCTCTGTTTTTCCAAGAGCATCGAATTAGGAAGTGACCACGAGGCATTCGTTAAGTACAGGTTTGTGATGTTGCCATGTCACAAGGAATACAAGTGCTATTGCTATATAGTAAGTATAGGTTCGACAGGGTATTTATAATTAACTATATGTTGTTACTGCTACCATCTTGTTTTAGGTTGGCCTGTATCGCTCGAGATCAAAATCAGCTCGAAGAAGCTATAGAATTATTCGAGGAGGCTTTACAAGCGGATCAAACATCAGCTTTTTGCGCTCATGATATGGCGCAAACATGCCTTGTTCTTGCCCGCAACAAGCTTCGGGAGGCTCTGCGTGGACCAGCCAGACGCTTCCTGAGTCGCGGACTTGTCGTCGCTGCTCAGCCGATCTGTGGTGGCCATAGCAGGGTTGTATGCCTCTGGAACATACTTGGAGACATAATGATGCAAGCAATGGAGAGTAACCTAGAGGTAGATAATTCATCATAAAAAGAAACTTGAAGCGACACTTAGCGCGCCTCAAGGTTGCAGGCTGTTAGTATAAGCGGATATTGCCAAGGAAAGAGTATATTCTCTCTCTCTCTCTCTATATATATATATAATTAAAAATTCATAACGGGACATTTCGTTTTCTTTACGAAGCATAAGTGACTATTCTTGTCTTAAATGAGGTTTGACTACCTAGTTTCAAATAACTGTGCCGTGAAAGCAGATTCACCATTAGGGAGAACATAAGGCTTCGTCCGTAGGCCCACTTTCGTGTCTGTTACATATGGTAAAATATTGCTGATATTCATGCGCTTATATTTGTTTTTCCTGTACAGCTACAACCTCCTACGGACACCAAACTGCGCATGCTACTAGGCCTTTCAGAAGACGATGCTGTTCTAAGGCCTGACAAACTGTGTGCTCTAGCAGAAAAGTGCTTTATGCGATGTTTGTCATTGAATTCCAATTTACCTAATGTGTGGCATAACATGGCTGTCATGTCCGCCGCCAAAGGAGAATTCGACCAAAGGTATTGCTAATGCTTTTTCATAGAGCCTTTTTTTTATTTGACGTAAGAAGTTCATTATCAGAAATTATTATTCGTTGAACCCGATCGATTTAATGACCCGTTTATGATCGTCCTCTGTGTGGAATTTTTACCGTTCTAGTTTGTCCTGTATGAAACGGGCCATCTCTCTTGATCCCAAGTCGGCCCACCTATGGAGCTCATTTGGTGTTTTGGCTGTGCGAGCGAAACTTTCACCCAAATTCGCACAATCGGCTTTTATCCGCGCACTTGCCATAGATCCCGATCTCGCACCTGCCTGGACAAATCTCGGTTTCATTTACATGAAGAGCGGTTTACTTCATGAAGCTAACCAGTGCTTTACACGAGCTCAAGCTGTTGACCCGTTAAATCTCGAATGCTGGCTTGGTCAAGCCACATTGGCAGCTACTGTAAAACATTTTGACGCCTGTGATCTCTATCGACATTCAAATCAGCTTCGCCCTACAGGTGAAGCTCTAGTCTGTCATATGGCAATCCTAAGCAGCCAAAACAACGTTAAGGAAACAATGCCGAAGGATGTGCCTGAGGAAATGGTGAACGCCTGTGAAAGATGTATGGATTCATTTGAAGGACATAATGCCTGTGCCACTGCTGGTAAGCTTCTGATATAATTAAAATCTAATTATTGCTAGTGAGAATACAGACGCATAAAAATAGACATTTTGTACATTGAATTTTTATTAGGAACTGTGGTGACGGAGCCCGTAGAGACGGGTGCAGCTGACTCAATAATAACGTAACTTATCATGTTTAAATTTATTACCATGACTACTATGAAGTCATTATTACTAAAATAACAAGCGACGTACATCGAGATGTTATTATTTCCAGTGAATAAATAAATGTCCCCTAAACAAAGCTTCTAATCCACTCTATTCTGTAAAACTGACTACGTATATATAAAATAATGAATCAATCATTGTTAATAATCATTCGCCCTCCTCACTAAGTTAAAAAAAAAACAGGCTTTGAATAAGTAAACGATACTGCAGTTATTATCTAAATCACTATGCAATAAGGAGAACTAGGTAGAACAATATGTGCCTACTATAGTTATTTTTCCCGTTCAATCTTCAAGTAACGTATTTATTAAGTTGTCTGAAAATCTATGGCGGCTTTTGTTTACTGCTTTCCTTTTTAATTTAATCTTTTTTTTTTCGTAATCACATGTTATAAACTTTTGGAACTCCTTTTTCTTGCGGTTCTCCTTTCGCCATTCTCCTTGGGATTCGATCTTGAGTCTATATGTCAAATATGGGCATGTCGGGTGAAAGAGAAATGTATTTTCCAAATCTCGCTAATATCCAAAAGTTGTTGTATCAATCTCGCACGTTGTTCCACGTACGATATATATTAGAGAGCTAAGGAATATGGACGAACCTAACAATTATATTCGTTCAGCGTAGCCTTATTTAACTACCATGTTTAAACCTAGCTTACTGTATTTGAGTAGCGTCTTCAGTTATGAAATTATTATCATATGTGACACGTATTTAGGCTTGTTTCGCTAGCTTTTTACCCTTGGTACAAAACGAAAATTAAATTTCAAAAATACTGTTTTTCTTTTAGCACCCGTCATAGTTACCTTTCGGCTTCGAACTCTGTGTTATGACCTAAAAGACAGTATTAAAAAGCTTTTTAACAGTACTTAACATCTGATCGTCAGCAAGATGAAATAGTAAATAGTTTCTGAATAACTTAATAATATGAGCTACTGCCATTTTAGGTTATGTGCTTCTAACACATGGTTTAACTATCGAGGCCGAGACAGTATTATCCCGTTGTGGATGCTCAACTTGTCGCATACTAATGGCACAAAGTGCGGCAATTCGAGAAGATTGGCAGGAATGCTCCCGTCAGCTTGATGGTTTGGAAGGCGAAGAAGTCGAAAAACTGAAGGCTTACAAAGCATGGAAAGTAAACGGACAACTTGACAAGGCTGTCGCACTTGTTCCTGAACTGGGAGAGATCTACGATAACACAAAGACAAGCGTGGAGGTTAGTGCCTAGGATTCTATTTAGCTGAAATCGAATTTGTTGCCTCGGCGTTTGTTCCCCTTATCATTTTTTCCCACATATAAATAATTTCTACTTCTGTTATCATCGTACACATTATGCTCATTTCGTGATGCGACTTGCCGCTGGCTTTTTCGGTCAGTAGTCCAGCAAGTCATTCAAGAGTGATTACAAAGGAGCAGCAATTTACAGTTGCCAATGAGAAGAAGTTTTACTGATTTTATCATTTATTTATTATCCATTTCTTTCTCACTTGCACTCATTGTCCTATTCAGTTAACACGTAAGTCTCTTGAACGAGCTGTGCGTCAAAATCCTCGATGTGAAAAATCCTGGCGCCGACTAGCAGAGTGTCTTATCGAAGAGGGCCGGTGGAAGACTGCAGTACGTGTCACTGAATTTATGGCTCCACCCCATCAGCCTGAAGGGCTTCTGTTGTGGACGGTAGCACATGCAATGGCTGATCGTAAACGAAGTGCGTACAGCGCGGCTGCGAGTCTCGTGCGTAATTTTCCTGATAAACCCCAGCACTGGACGCTGCTTCGATGGACTAGTTTGGCGATCGAGAAGCGCAACTTACCTATACCCGACCATTATGAAGACGTGAACCAAGCAGATTGGAAGGAGTTTGCGATCAAAGTGAGGACGCTGGATGACACACTCAAAAGCGGTGAGTAAAACAGAACAATGCAATCAAACATTCTTAAGACTTTAAGCGATTAGGTTTCCTAACTTCATTTTGCGGCTGTTTCGTGAGTGAAAATCTGTAAGTTCTTTTAGGAAAACTTTTGATATGATTATTCTAGTGGTTGATCTTAATGCCTTAAAAATAAACTGATGAATTCGTATAGATGTATGCGGTTTGCAATTTAGCACTGCATCTGCGGTACAAAAAATCAAGTAGGCACATGATTACTTATTTTAGGCAAAGTTCCTCCACCTCGAGTATTGACCATCGTTGAGGAGACCACTGGCGAACATCAATGTCGAAAGCTGATCGAACTCCTGTCTCAGAAGAAGATTACAAAGACATTTTTCACACTAGCTACAGGTCTACTTAAAGCCGATCCGCAGTCTGAGGCCGGACTATTTTTGACAGGTAAACGTTGCTGTCTGGATTCGAAACTGGAAAACTTTGCACTGTCTGATAAAACGCCTGATGGCGATACTGGACTCGAAACATAGAGGCACACCATTCGAAGAGAATGTAACAAGATAATTGTTGAAACTTTTCGAAATAACCGTGGGAGCGGTCGGTTGTTAAAGGCATGTGACAAGGATACGCGTTCCTACAAAATCGAAAACGTTTTTTGCCAAATTATACATTTATTATTATAGCTATAGACTGGCTACGAACAAAAGGGTGCCATAATTGTGCACATTTCTTGCTTCTATTTCAGGGCTATGGTCAGCGGTCAACGGCTCGAAGGACTTGTATAGTCGGTGTTTCAATGCTTTGCCCTGTCAAGGTTCCCTCAAGAAGCTCTTAGAGCAGCAACATAGCTATGTGCAAAAATCCGAAGCAGCCTTAAGAGGAGCGCACTTAGAATAAATACTTGATTGTTATTTTAATACCGGTTCAAAAATTCCTATATATATTTTATTGTATCAGTAAATAGGGCTGGTGGATTAGCTGTGTGTGTTTCCACTAGTGGTGACACACTAGCGAGTGAAGACCTTTTTTGAGTCCTTTGAAGACCTTTGAGCCCCTCATAAGTATTTGGAACGCCGAGTTTCTGTATGGCATACACGAACGTGTGTTACACACAAACATCATCTTTGTTGTTTCAATTAAATAAAGGTGAAAGGGCCCCAAGTTTGCAATTACACATCAATTGATCTGGTTATTTGCGTCTATAGACATTAGAGCTGCTTTTTACCAAGACAATAGGAAAGCTTGCCGATGGAAGGTAATTTTATTTTGTTCTAAAATAGAATAAAATCATAATAACAATAATAGTAAATAGAAAAATAACTACGACATTTAAAATAAAGGTAGAGTTTATTAGTCTTAAAATATTTTAATTAGATTAAAAAAGAAAATTAGACTAATTGGTCTTAAAATACGTAAGGTAGTCTGGCAAAAAAGAAGTTTTATTTAGCCGTGGCCTTATGTTTCTACCGAATTAACAAGCTCTGAAAAGATTCATTTACCTGCACTAACTGAGGCATTATTTCAGAGTAATTTTTATTGTAAAGTTTGTATATCTATCAGAGACATTGCTAGTTCGAAAAACATACAGCACTTCTAAAAAAAAAGTTGTTTCCAACAGTGTAGTTTGTAAAGAGTAATCGTTGCGACAGCCAGCCTTAATATTGAAGAACGTACCTATAAGCCATTGGGTATCATGCTTTAAGCCTAAATGTATCGAAACTTTAAATATGGCCGATAACGATTGACTCGTTCTGTGAATAAGCTTTTGAAAGACAATTTTTAAGAAATTCCGCATTTGTTCCTCTTCTCGTTGAACTGGTTTCTCTACTGGTAAAGCTGGATGAGTTTCGCACCGTCATAAATAATTCTAATAAGTATAAGCAGTTGCTTATTTTTGGGTATTTGAAGTAAGAGAATGCGCCGGGTTACCACATGGTTTATAAATTCGACCCGATTGTACGAAGGATGGATTGATTTAGCATTCTTGTAACTACCGCATCGAATCATTGTCGCACTGAAGTCCGTACGGGAGAACGCTGTCGAAGGATGGTGGATTTCGACGACCTGAAAAATGATGAAAACCTAATACCGTATTAGCTACGGTTGGCGCAAACTTCGTAGGCTAAACTGCGTATCTGCTGTACCGTATCATCGTAGAAGGTAAAACGAATGTTTCTGTTTCAGTTCGAATATGTAAGAAGTCGATGATTTAGATAATTTTGTATACATACAGCGGAAAAGATGTTCTGGAACTATCGCCGTTAGTCTTGTTTTAGAAATGCACCTTCTTTAATTCACTTCGCTTCGCTTCAGGAGCTCATTTCCCACGTCAAAGGTTGACTCTCCTAGTGTGCACGTAAATGCTTTTAAATTATTAGAGAACACAAGAAGAAAAAACTATTTGCAAGTGAAGTTCTCGATATTTCCTATGCTTCCAGTGAGTAGTTGCGCCTCCTCAACTCGAATAATATATATACATATATATAATTTGCTTGAGGATACTCTTGATCATCATGATCGTCAACAATAACTGCAAATCCTTACCGCAACCAGCAACTGTAAAAAGAGCAGTTTCAGCGACGTCGTGTGCGAAACATTCTATGATATTTCACAGTTGAATGGTCTGCAGTGGTCCTTCCTTGCCGGAAACAATGTGTTAATCCGTTTCTAATACGTCGCGTAAATGCCTAAGACGAGCGTCATAGACTTTCGCGTCGCAACGACGTGTGCCGGTGAACAACGACTAAGCACCTGTGGCGCAGAAGATCAGCCCGGCTCAACCAAGCTAGCTCTAACGTAAGCGTATCGCGCAATCAGCTTTCTGCCACCCCCTAGACGTAAAATCGGCCGATATAGCACGCAAAGTCATTTGACAACAGACAGTTAACATACTTGGAAACGCATTTGGCTAAGCGTAGACTTGGTTTTCCTATCGTTGATACGTGCGCCCGTTCCATACGCGAAATCTTCGCTGGATCCGATCAACAGCTGCGCTTTTCTCGTCATCTGCTTTAGTAGATCCTCATCGAATCGGATGCAATTCAATTCTCATAGCGCTATATATGCATGTGATATATAGACTATCACTACTGCCATTGTGGCTGTATATCAGACTAATAGTACATATGTACCATTATTATACGTTTATAGTATCATTTATCGGGCCCAGTCGATTCCTATGGGGATTTTTTGTCATAGTGGAAATCGGTAGATTATGTTTCTTTTCAAGTACGATGATGACTATGTTAATTTTCATAGTTGTACTTATCTCTTGACAAAGTCACAGGACGAAAAGGTTCCGTGTTATGTTATGCTGGCCACATGTCTAACAATGGAAATATGGGTTGCGTATTTGTGTGTAGATGTGTTGGGTTCATAAGATTTCTTAATACTCAAAACACGCCGTTCCAGTAAACAATGGTGGCATTTGATACTTGAACAAAAATTTAGACAACGGACAGAGAAGCTGGAACCAAATGTTAACCCTGTAAATGGGTGAATGTCTCAGAAAATCTAGAATAGCTTAAGAGGGTGCTTTTTGCACCTGTTCGTCATGTTACTCAGAGCACAAAAACAACTGATTGATGGGTCACAACAAATTCAGTCGATTTAACTACACACAATTGCCGAAAGGCATACTCCTTTGAATTTTGGATTTGAAATCTGTCAGCGTGTGAGATAAAACAAACGTCGCGAAAAAATGCAGTTTTTTTTTTATTAGTTTATATCTTCTAAAAACTCTTTTCTTACCAGTCTTGCTTCTTTACAGGAGCTAGCCTTAGCAACGTTTAAAAACAAATAAATCAACTACTAGTAATCATGGAGCCAAGCTCATTTTGATAAAATCATATCCAATGCAATGTTTAAATATCAATGACATCAACCCTTTAGTGCTGAATTTCCATTTTTGAAACGACATCGTTTAAGAACGATCCTCACGAAATCCTCACGAAAAATGATCTAAGACCATTTCTCTGCGTAACGTATACGAATGAAACAATTCATGTTAACACGACAACCTAGAACGTGCTGGGGTTACCATTGAGATAAATGTTTATTCTTCTACTATCTTTCCTAACTGCATGGCGTTTCCCATATCTAAAAAACCTTGAGCCATCCCTGTCCATTATGGTATCCTATGCTATACGCAAACGCAGTCATGTGACGGAAGGCGAAAATGCTCGTTAGAGATTAGAACAGAATATGACCGATTACGCTTCACACTAAAGCTATACGCGTTTAATCTATAGTAAGAGAACACCGAATCTATTCAAGATGAAGAAAATGGTTCTCCTTAAGTTTGAAGGAATGACACAAAATCATGACGATATCTAAGCTTGGCCTAATCTTACAATAATACGTTTAAAGCGTCTGCAGTTGCTCTATGTGGCACTTTAAATATGTTTTATATGACAATATATTTGTACCTGGTATTGCAGATCCCAAAGATAAAGTTCCCCCGAAGTAACTTCTATAGCGCAGAAGACTTACTTACATGTTTATGGCGAACGAACAGCGCTCACCACTGTTCCCACATGCGTGACTTTGTTTCACCTTTAACCAAATTTTCTGTGCCACTTTTAAAATGAAAGGCTTGCCGTGGGTGTCGGACCCACCTGGAAAAGTTTACATAAGCTAAAAAACTTACTTAGTTTACTTATTTTATTACACATATATAGTGAAATATATGGGTATGATGGGAGTTAAATGGGAGATAGCTGGCTGTTTTGCCGTCTCTGCTCGGGCGTTCAAGCTATTGCTTTATGATGAAATAAGCTACTGAACCATTTGTTGCTACTTTAACAAATACTTTCTTAGGATATGTTTAGATAGAATGTCATATGATTTCTGCCATTACGAAACATAATGGTCCGTAGAGCTCGACAAACTTCATGAGCAAGTATTGTTAGCAAAGATTTGGTCAGGAGAACCGTTTAGATTGAATGTGGGACTGCGGCAAGGAATATCAGATATTGAACGGCTGCTGTAAAATACTGTTTTATGTGCGCCGCGTTTGATGGCCTGGTTGAATGGCCTTGATACACTTTTTGCGCTTTTATGAATAGCTAGTATTATATTTAACAGTAGATCGGATCAGGTCAAAGCAACATCATCAATATAGAACAGGTAAATAAATATGAATATCTAATAGAAAGCTTCCCAATTAAATAATCATAGTAGTAATATCTCTATTATACAAATGTATAGCGATAGAAGTTAGCAGCCAACTACGTAAACAAACACACCCGTTTACGTGGGGCTGGCATATGCCCTGAAGGAATCGAGCCAGGAGCCCCACAGTAGCAAGTGATTCCATTATTGAGGATGAATAGCTCTAAGGAACTATTTTATCATTTCATATCTAAATACCGCTGAAATCACTTGAGATATCTAGCTCTAAGGAGGCAAGTAATTCCCTAAAATTTAGTAAGAACAGCCCTAATGTGAAGATATCGTTTGGTTTTTATGACAAAAGCACGTGTCATAGCTGGAGAAAGAAGATCTTCTCTCGACAATACCAGAAAGTTCGTTTTGACTGTTCGTGCACAGCAACAATATAGCTATAATACAGAAAAGTCTTACCTCTTACCAAGCTAAATACAACACTCTCATGACCAGCTAGAAGATACAGCAAAGATAATCCATGCTTTTCATCACAAATTACCTCTTTTTAAGCGACGGACACTCACATAATCAAATCGACGCCGACCCTATACAAATAACGTCGATTCGGTTATAAATAATAATAATTCCATCTCGAGAATCGAGTCCTAACCGGAGTATGACGATACACGCTTCACACAGATGAATCGCGTCTGAAAACGCTTCATGGACACTCGACGGAGCGGCTATTGCAAAAATTCGTTCGTTCGTTCGTTCGTTCGGCGAAAGACGGCACGGCAGCACAAATCGAATCTGTTTCGAAGGTAAATGACGACGTTTTTAATGCCGGAATGGTGGTGCCGTCTTCGTTCCGACCGAAACAGCAGTTCTATTTTGGCTGATGCATCGGATTGCCGCCTCGCTCCGGAGGTAGCTGACAAAGAGATCAGGCAGAGGATCTCTTATCAGGATATCCGATTCGACGATGACATCGCAACGGAATTGATTTCTGACGGAGACGTTTGGTGTATTTGTCGCCATTTTTCGATAAAGCGATCGCAGCAAAGCGGC